CGAACATGATTAATAATATTCTAAATTACTATTGCCAGTAAATTTAACATGATATTTTAATATTGTGATATTGTTGAAGATTATTCGCACATTATGCAAATTATTTTCAAAATGTGTCTTTTTTTTTTTTTTACTACCGTTGAAAACGTCCAATAAATCACTTAATTTGTTTCAATTGGATAATTAATAGGGAACGTATGAATTGTTATTTCTTTACGACGAACGCTTATTTGCATATTATGCATATTGGGTTCACTATGTGGACATTCAATTATAACCAACCTGTTAAGTTACATTGAGAACATGATGTGGATCATTTGAATTATTGTAGTCGGGCACTTGGAAGCAAAATTATGAAATATATGAACTTCTTTAATGGCATATGTTAATTAGCATATTATGCGAATTCATTTTTAAAGTTGTCATTGTGTTCACAAACCTTAACAAAATATTTAAAGTACTAAAAATCCTGTATATTAAGATCATGGGTGATTTGCATTTATGCAAATTTAACTGGAGCTTTCATTTTCACTTGGGAGAATAGAGAAAAGATTTTATGATTTTTACGAAAACCTTGAGATGGTAGGTCTAAGAAAAATTGTATTATAAGTACATTCTTTAATTACAGGTACCTTAATGATGCTGGTGTAGACCTCTCGATCTAAAACTCCAAATGATATTATCTGATTCGAGCTTTATATATATATATATATATATATATATATATATATATATACTGCGGCTCACAATGCACTACCATGATAACAGGGGGGGGGGGCATCGATTAGGGTCGAATTTATTAACCCCTATCGTTGCACTCAGTTTATCTCCCCTGGCGCCCCCATTCATGTCCATCGCTCTATCCGACCCTCCCGCCCCCCCCCACTCAGTGTTATTTAGGTATTATGCTCGTACCCTTTTTTTGAAAGCACCCCCTATCTGAGGACTGCCAACATTTCCGAACCCCCCTTTCGCGGGCTTTTCGCGGGCTTTTCCTGCCTTGGAGACCCCCCTAAATCAGGAAAAATGCTCACTGTACCCCCTAAATTCAGAATAATTTCTCAGGAGTCCAAAGAGATGAGAGAAAAAAAGAAAAACACCCCCTTTTTAAAGAAATCTCCGGGTGAAAAGTCAAATACACCCCTTTTTTTTACAATTCTCGGGCCGGACTTTGTCGCACGAAAAGTACCCCTTTACCGGACATTTTGGCAACACGCATGCGGTCATTCCGACCTCTGAGTGGGGGGGGGGGGGGGGCCGGGCCGACCCTCCCCTCCTCTCCCCAATAACCTGCCGGTAAAGCCAGACATGCGCCGTAATAATTATAGCCCGATTCGTTTATACAGTGCGTAAGAGTGTACCCAACTTTGGTAGCTACTAATGAAGAAGTCATGATCAATATGACTTTCAAATCTATTTCATGATGAAAAGCAACCTGTGTTCTGTTCATAGTATTTTTGTTATGGGTGACTGAGCATCAGGCTCTATACAAAAGTGTTTTCAAAATCGCCGTGTACCAAGTTACATGTAGGGCTGATGGAACGAATGTGGGTCAGGCCATTTATGCATGTGCTTCTTTGGTCTTAACCCGTTGACTACTGAATTATCTTATTCCCATAGGCTTTACACAGGGACCACCAGGTTCCCGTAAGCAATGGGTTAAATCCTTTTAAAAGTTAAATTATGCGTCGTGCTTTAGTGCTTCACTTCCGTGCATGGTATTATTTTGATGAAAAATGCAGGGATTAAAAAAAATAAGGAATACGTCTATTTTGTAAATAAAATAAGACGCCATTGTATTTTCAGCTGCACACACCGCGGCATGTTCGGCGCTTCAAGAGGGAACAAATGACATCCATGCTATCATTCCGGAGGTTTTTTAATTTGAAAGTGTGGTTTCTTTGATTGTTCATTAACCCCTATGCTGTGTATTTACAAACAAAAGAATTTAGTTATCAGAATGGGGGTGATATCCCTTTTTGAATGGTGTAAAATTCCATCAAATTTATATACACTAAACTCATTATAATTTGAGAAATAAAATCATTGCAATTGTGTTCATTCTGTATGGGATGTCGTCTGCTTGGGCAGGCAGTGACGGATTCAGGGAGGGGGCCCGCCCCCCCCCCCCTGGCAAAAAAAGAAGGGAAAAAAGGGGGGAAGGGGAAAAAAAGGAAAAAAGAAGGAAAACAAAAAAAGGAAATAAAAGGGTAAAGAAATCAAAGGTATCAAAATATGCTTATCTAACCGTAATTAAGTGCCTAACACCCCTTGACTTCCGTTGGCTCTGCCCCCTGGACCCCACCTAGGGCCCTAAGGCGGACGGCTGGATGCTAATCTGACGGTAATTTAATGCTTAAAACCACTGAGCTTCTGGGGTCTCGGCCCCCTGGACCTCACGCCAATTAGTGTCCTGCCAGTGTTACCAATAAGGTATCAAAATATGTTCATCTGACCGTAATTAAATGCCTATAACCCCTAAGTTTCCGGGGCTCCACCCCCTCGAACCCACCAGTGGCAGTAAGGCGGGCCCCCTACATGCTTGTCTGATCGTTATAAAATTCCTAAGACCCCTGAGCTTCTGGGGGCTCCGCCCCCAGGACCCCACGCCAATAAATTACCTGCCAGTGTCACAAATAAGGTATAATTATGCTCATCTGACGTAACTATGCCTAAAGCCCTGAGCTTCCGGGTCTCTGCCCTCCGAACCCAACCAATGGCCCGAAGGCGGGCCCCTGGATGTTCATCTGACTGTAATCTATTGTCTAACACCCTTGAGCCTCCGGGGGCTCCACCTCCTGGACCCCACGCCAATTCGTGACCTGCCAGTGTCACAAATAAGGTATAATTATGCTCATCTGACGTAATTAAATGCCTAAAGCCCTGAGCTTCCGGGTCTCTGCCCTCCGAACCCAACCAATGGCCCGAAGGCGGGCCCCTGGATGTTCATCTGACTGTAATCTATTGTCTAACACCCTTGAGCCTCCGGGGGCTCCACCTCCTGGACCCCACGCCAATTCGTGACCTGCCAGTGTCACAAATAAGGTATAAAATTATGCTCATCTAACGATGAATTGATGTATAAACCCCTGAACTTCTGAGGGCTCCGCCCCTGGACCCAACACCAATTTGTGCCCTGCCAGTGTAACAAATAAGGTATAAAATTATGCTCATCCGACGATAATTTGATGTATAAAACCCCTGAGCTTTTTTGGGCTCCGCCCCTGGACCCAACACCAGTTTGTGTTCTGCCAGTGTCACAAATAGATATAAAAATATGCTCATCTGACCGCTATTTATTGCCCCAAACCCCTGAGCTTCCGGGGGCTCCGTCCCCTGGACCCCACACCAATTCGTGACCGTGCCACCTGCCATAAGGTATAAAATATGCACATCTGACGATAATTTAATGTATAAAACCCCTGAGCTTCTGAGGGAACCTCCGCCCTGGGGAAAAACGTGTAAAAACACGTTAATTTTACTCTTTTGGGGGGAGATATGCCCCCCCCCCCACCGAGCGAAATATTGGCCGGCACGATTTTCAAATATCATGCACACTAAATTTCAAATTTGGGCCCCACCCCTAAGAAATCCTGGATCCGCGCCTGTGGGTAGGGTTGGTTCATATTGTGACGGCATTAAAACATCGTTATTTTGCCGGCGAATCTCTCGCATATCCCAGATGCTATGGAGGTTGTTTTATTTGTATTTTTATAAATCACCCGATATGAAGTTGACCTAAAACTTGCATGATGGCCATCTGTTAGCTTTCCAGTTTCTAGTAATACGCTATTTACCATTATGGATATTTGTGATTTTCTATGAACCCGCACCTTAAACAAAGCGAACATATATTACATATTCTTAAAATGTCACACTAATCCAGCTTGATTAGTGAATTACAGCATCCCAAACTTCAAAAAACGTAAATCTTATTAGTAAAAATGTCTTTGATAATAATAAAAAAAAGAATTGTTTGACTTTTACATATACAAAAGTGTAAATTTAAACATTTCAACTAATAGAAGGATAGGGAAAAAACCCACATATTACAATATCTAATCTATAATGTAATATAATTGTTTATTTTGATAGAGTAGTTGAAAATAAAGTAGGTGTATTAAATATCATAATTTTGAATCGTTTGTTAGTAGAGTCGAAACTGCGGTACGACGAAACGTCTTCTTTCTCTAATAAGTACTGAAACGTCAAAACTTCCTCGCGATCGCGCGGGAGGGGGAGAAACTGAATTCATACAGGATTAAGAGTCGAGAACAGTACACCGAATCGTCTTCTTTTCCTAATAATTTAAGGAAACGTCTAAGCTCCCGCGCTTGCGCGGGAGGCCCATCACCCACACCCCCATGCACACACCCCTAATGATCGATCGAGCGCGCTTTTAAGTGATTGTCTTGCTCACTACCGCCCCTCCCTAAAATAAGATCCTAGCTCCGCGCCTGCATTAAAATATATAGCTACAGTGCTGACTAAATTGAAGAAATAATTCGTATATTTATGTCGTCGAGGAAAATGACCATTTTGCGCATATGCAAGTACTGTATAGATATCCATAGGAAACACAATTTAGCCTTCGTCCCCAGGCTAGGGTTGAATTTGTAGATATTGGACATCTAATTTTGTCGGTAATTGTTGGCCCCTACACCACCCCCCCCCCTGAAAAAAGGTCTAGCGACGCCCCTGGGGGGGGGGGGAGGAGCTAGGGCGCGGGCCGGGCCAAAAGGAGATGGCGATCAGGAGGAAGAAGAAAAAAATTGTGATAAAATGACAAACGGAAAAGTTTTCTGTGGCTATAGTTCGTACGTCCACTGACCAAATTGCCAGTTTTAGATTCCCGTAGATCTAGATGAAAGAGTTGAATTTTAAGATTGGTCAGATTTATTTTAAACTATCGCAAATTCGATTTCTCTTATTGTTTCGCTTTCATACAAAATTAATGAACTTTGTTCGTTGGGTTGGATTGTCCGTGTATGTTAAACGCCATCTACGTCTAATTGTGTGTATGTATTGAAGAGAATTTTCCAAAACCTAGCCTTCTAAACTTTCTGTGAAAAGTCTTCAAGATGTTGTATTTAGAAGATTATTTGGAAAGTAAGTACAATTTTTGTAGGTATACGTATATTTTAAACTATATCTGGTATACAAAATTGACATATAACCTATGATATTTGTAGAAATTTAGTACCAATTACTTTTGCGGGAACTTTAAATAGGTCTACGTGTGAATGCATTTGATGAGTGGAGTATGCTATTTTCGGTCAGTCTCTCGAATGTTAACTTTTTACGTAATGCAGGGGGAATGTAAAAAGAATTGTAGAGTATTTTCGGTCACCTGATTTTTTGTGGTTGTATTTTTACTGAAGTAAAAGTTAATGCCGATCGTATTTTGCAAGAATACTCGGCATACTCACTTCTAGAAAGTGGGTAGGCTATGCTATGGAAATTTATCACAGTTGATGGTCACTTTACTTTTTCAGTTTTGATATTGCCCCACATGTTGACCTTAATGTAGGGAAGCCAACATTTGATTTGACAAATCGTCTGCAACACATAGCAGCATTAGATTTAGACCTAGCATACTTTTTGTGTATAAAAAACTGTTTCAAACACCACTGTACAAAACTCAACTGAGTTCACTCAAATTTGGTACTTTACTGTAGGCCTACGTCTTTAGTGACGATTGTAGACCGAAAAAGGGTTAAAAACTGTTATTGTATGCTTTTGAATCAGCAGCGGTATGCCGCCGCGTCATATTCTTGTGTGCCCTCTAACTGAAACATTCCTTGACTGATTTCTTTCAAATTTTGTATGGAGGTGTATCTTGGTATGATACACACCTAGACTATAATTGTTGGTGATGCTGCCCCAGTGTTCCGTCGTCTTTAGGGTAAATGGCCATATTTTTATTGATGGTTTGTATGCGCTCTACAGGCCGCATTTTTCAAGGGATTTTGTTCAAATTTTGAATGAAGATGTATCTTGGTATAATCTACAAGCCTACATATTTTGGTGATGCTGCCTTCAGTGTTCCGTCTTTTATAGGGTCAAAAGTCATATTTTGATAGATGTCTTGTGTACACTCCAGTGTGTGGTCTAACTGCATCATTTCTTTACAGATTTCTTTCAAATTGAGTATGGAAGTGTTTGTTTGTTTAAAATATGCTCCCCTAGTTTTGGTGATGCTGCCACCAGTGTCCCATGTTTTATAGGGTCAAAAGGTCATATTGTGCAGAATGGCTGTAGACCCCATTTCTTGATGAATTTCTTTCAAATTTTGTATATACCTTGAATACCTTGAATACCAAAGCTTCTGGAAGAAAGCCGTCTCCATCTACACAATACACATCTTTACTTTTTGGGGATGCTTCTCTCCTTGTTCCATCCTTTATAGGATCAAAGGTCATTTGTCCTTTTTGTGCATTCTTCATACTGCCACATCTCTTGAAGGATTAAAAAAAAACTTTTTATGGAGGTTTATCTTGATCAAATCTACACATCTTTAGTGTGTGGTGATTATCACTGATGCTGCCACATTTCCTGTTTTGGTGGCTGTCTATTGTTTGCTCTAACTACCACATTTCTTGACAATAAAATAAATTTGAACATGAACTAACTTCAAATTATCCGAAATATGAGTGATTTTAGGTACCATTAAAGTGCTCAAAATTAAAAATATAAAAATCATTTTGGACCGATACCTTTTTAACGGTTCAGGAAGAAAATCTGGAAAAAGCACCCTTAAACACATCGTACAGTCAAGCTGGTAAGTGGAACAGATGTATATTAGCCTAGGCCTAATTTTAGAGTTTAAATAGATTGAATAGGCATCTGCTAAAATGACATTTTAGTCCAAACTTTGCACAGGAAACCCTATGACAGCTTCTGTCTCTAAAGAAAGGAGCCGACCCTACCCAAATAAGGGGCTATCAAACAAAAGAGACAGAAATTTTCAGTCTAAGATCGATTGTAATGAGTGCATAACTATCACTCCTACATAAGTACAATGCACGAAGTCTAACCCTAAACGGAATGGACTCCATACCAGCTGACAGGTGTTTTTTTTATACCACTAAAATACTCTACTATTACAACATAACGTGGGTTGAATCCCTGTGTAAGTCTTATACACAAATTTGGTTCTGAATAACTCGACCCATACCTTACCCAGAGCTGCCAAGTAGTACGGATTTGCCGTATTCCGTACGGAAATCAACTTAAAATATGGACGTACGTTTTTTCATGTTAAAATACGGAAGAAGAAAAAAATCAGTTGTGTAATGTGTATAAGTTCAAGGGCGGTGCGCACGCCGTGTCAATTTTGTATTAGTCTATGGGCATGGCTGGTGCGCACTCCGTGCGCTAAAAGACGTTTGTCGACTTATATCCGTTTGTATTGTTTACTGTGCATGTGTGCGGTGCTTGTCTGCGTGTGGGACTGAAGTGAAATCAGTGCTGCAACTTGCCAATATGCGTACACGTGTGTGTGTGTGTGTGTTCTAATTGTGCATGCAATGTGACTACGCAAGTCGAGTGCATGCTAACGATGTTGTTGCTTTGGAAGCAACATGTACATTAGAGACATTTAAGAGTTAGAACTGAAATGAAGGACATTTGCAGAAAAGACTGAAGGAATTGTCCAGTCAATGATGGTAATGAATGTTCATTTGATAAGCTACTTTTGAAAGGGCAAATTAATGTTAAGTCCATTGTGCCGTGCTTAGTGGTGTAGATCTACAATTGTTTACGTGTGGGATGGAAATGTAATAACTTATCGAACATTGCCGATATAGACTACGCATGCATATTTTTTTCACGCAGAAAATATATGGATTTTTTGGTCAAAATACTGATTTTGGGGGATAAGAATACTGAAAATGCAAAATACAATTTGGCAGCTCTGCTTACCATGTCACATGTACCCGAAACCATGTAAATTTCCGCGATTGCGAAACAGAGTGTAGTACAAAGTTTTTGGCGGTCAATTTTGTTCTAATGGTCGATTTTGTTTTGATGGATCATTAGCTGAACCTGAACCTAAGCGGTTCGCTTAACCCATAGCTAAACCATAGCGAAACTGCAATCTATTTCCATCATGATTGCCACGATTTTTATATAGTTTTTGTGAATAGAGGTATGAAATCAAAGCTTATTTTGTGATTATTCTGGCCATCGCCATGTTTACTGAACTTTGATAATTATTTTTCAAATTAAAGTTTTCACAAAAAACTGATTGTGACTGACGGTTCAGTTGCATAAATACTGCAGCTGCTTTGAGTACACACACATATACAGTGCAGTACCACTGCACTGCTGTCCGAACCGTGAGAGTTAGAGTCAAAGAGAAGAGACTCAACAAAACTTTGAAATTGCTAGTACTTGATTAGTGCTGTAGTCAAACGTTTAACCGTCCGGTATCCGACCGCCCATGGAGGATTCCGTTTTCAATTGGACGGTTTTGTTTTCCCGTTTTTTTTTTTTTTTTTTTTTAAGTTTTGATTTATGCCCCTCCACCTGGCACTATGCCTGGCAATGTCTCCCAGCTCAGTAATCTGTGTGTTGACTCACCACTTCGAAACTAGAACAAAACTCCAATTTGTCTGTCATCTTGGTTTGAAAGTAATCTTTGTAATAGATCTCAATATGTAGTTTATAATAATAATTCATCCAACTTTTACACACGGCGTACCACAAGGTTCTATCCTAGGTCCTCTACTGTTTTTTAATTTACATTAATGTTCTTACACATTCTTCTAAAAACATAATTGTTACTATTATTTGTGACAAGTTCACAAGCACAAATCAGCGCCTTCAAATGCACCTCGCAGTCAAATGAAAGTCCTTCCCGCTTTTTCACACAGACCTGGCTTGGGCCGACAGAGTCGGTCAACAACGCAAAAAAAAAGAGAAGATTTTTAATGAGTTTAACCGAAAACTGTTCGGTTTTGACTGGTGGTTAAACGGAATTGGAGATATCCGTGAAGTTACAGTACTATACTTGATACAGTTCTTGCATCAACAAAATTCACTAAAACTTCATTATTAACTAGATAAATGCTTTATTTTTTAATCGGTATTCAATAGGGAAAAATGAAGCAGGAAACCTAAATCAAAGTTATATAAGCCAGTAAGCCTACTAATAATATGAACTTGGCAAACTGTATCTTTTTATGAACTAATGAAAAAGTAGCCCCTCAAAAGATTAGACTCCAAAATGGAAAAAAAGCAGCCCCGACAATTTCCCTAAAATTGTATATTGTGCCCCTGAAATAAAACAAGTTATCAATTTTTGTATGTTGCCTTATTTGTAAACATAAACAGCTGAAGCTAAAATGATAACAAGCCGGCAATTTTTTAAACCTGTGTAATTGGTTGTCAATTTTTTTTTTAAATTGCCCATTGTTCATTCCGTGATGTCACTGAAAATTCAGCTGTATTACGATCGGAGTCTCGAGTGGGTTGATTCTTCGCTCAAATTTACAAGTTAAACAAATGTGATATTCATACTCGGTGTAAGTTTACAATTGCGTTCAAAATCTGGACTCAGATGCAATCTGATGCATATTTTTAAACATTTAAGACTAATGTTTCATATAAATTTTTGGTTGAGAAAGAATGTTAACCTGCTTAGCACGATTTTCAAACCTGTAAAAACAAAATTCAAACCTGTACAAAAAAATTCAACCTGTTGCTGTTAAATGTTTAAATCCATTGTGGACCACCCTGAAAGAGTGCTTAAGCTGGATTTTGTCTGAAATTGTTGGATACTACCTTCTCTATCTAATGATGCTATGTTTTTATATCCACATATTTTTTTCTTCATTTTAGTGATTGAGCAGTTACCAATCGAATTGAAAGAGAGATTCACGGAAATGAGAGAAATGGATCTTCAAATTGAAAGTAAGCTACAAAAAATATAATTACATTTTATGTTAAAGGCATTGTATATTCATGTTTTTGAAGCAAAAGTGTATTAACGTAACAGCTCAAAGTAATAAATCAATTGATTAGTTCTTAATGAAAAGAATATTCTTTTTGATCAGTAACAATAAATCTTGATGAATATTTCATAGATATGTTTGTAACTCTGAATGTACTTTTACTATGACCGAACTTACCATTTTACCCCTTTCCAATTACAGATTCTGTGGATACAATAGAAGAAAAAGTGAAGAAATTTTTTGAGGCTGCCAAAAAATTAAAAACTGAATCAAAACAACAGCAGTATGATACATTACGAAAGGTGAGTTAGAATTGATACTATACATATTTCTTAATTTCCAGTTATTTCTTTCATGTTAAGCCTCAGTCACAAATGCCCTTACAAGCTGCTAAGAACACCGTACAAACGATTTTCAGACAATGGAAATTCGGGAAGACAATGGAAAAACAGAGATTCATACAAATTATCGTTCATACGAACCTTTGTGACCGTAGCATTATATACACTTCCCTTTTTATTTTCTACATCAGACTATAAAATGTTAACCTAGTTTGCAAATTATGCTGAAGTAATATTTAGTTTCCTTGTTTGTATTTCTCTGTTCATATATCACTACATTTGATTGAAAGAAATCTAATATTCACAAGTGTTCAACTTTGTAAGCTTTTGTAATGAAAACATACTTTTTTTACATGATAAGTAATCAATTTTTTGTATCATTTCTGTCATTTTAATTCATTTTGTATGCTGTTTACAGGAATATTATAAACTGTTAGACAGTGCAGATGAAAAAGTTCAAATAGCGAACCAAGTATATGACACAGTAAGTACAGGGAACATTGTGAAGTAATTTTTGTATTCTTTGTATTCTTATCCGAACTTTGTGTACATATGTTTGCAAATTGAGTGAAAGCTCGTGATAGGAGGGAGGATTTGGGAGGATCAAAGCATTTATGCAAGTACATGAGTTACTATTGCCTCTCCCCTTTTCTTGTTGTTGGGGAGGGGGGGGGGGGGGGGTTTGTCTTTCATGTTAAAAAAAAAATGTTATTGTGTTTTTGGGGGGTGTTTTTTTGTTTTTCCAAATGTTTGGAGAATTGACCCTTAGTTTTGTGATAGAAAGTATTATAAGATGATGACATGGATCCTAATCAAATGATTGGTTGAGAGCGTACACGTGACTAGGCATTTATTTTGCCTAACGCGTAATTTGGATAATGACCGGTCATTATCCAATGGTAATGACAGTTCATTATCAAAATTATGTTATAAAACATAATTTTATAAAACAAATAAAACATAATCTTATAAAACAAATAGTACACATCATTTCGTTCGGGCATTCCGGTAAGCAAAATTTACCACACTCGTTACCTTCAAAACAGTCCAAACACCCTCGGCTAACGCCTCAGGCGTGTTAGACTGTTCCAAAGGTACGTTGTGTGGGTAATTTTTTCTAATGCCCTCACTGCTGTGTATTATTTTTATACTAATATATTTCATTAAAGGGATAGTTGAGTTCTGTTTTCAGACTGCAAATGCCTTCAAAGTGCATGGTTATTGCTCTTATTCTTATCTATGACATTTATAATGCCCTTTTAGAACCTAAAATTGCTATGAAGGTAATTTTAGACCCCAAAATGTGTATAATTTAGCCAATACGATCATACCAATTCAGCTCCACTTTCAAAAAACATGGTGACCGTTAATTAATTATTTAATTAAAAATAAAAATACATGAGCCGGCTAATTGTGGGTAATATAAGCAACACGGAAATGTCAACAAAAAAACCAAACATCTCTGAACCAAGTTTGATCTAAAAAATGATGATTGTCAATTTGACAATCAGTTTTTCATTATCTCACAACAAAATTATTTTGTGTAGTGCCCTCTGCAACAGAACTCAAATATCCCTTTAACCTTTTTTTTTCTTCAAATGAAATTTTAAAAATCTCATGTCAATTTTTGAATGCCTTTGTGCTTTTAACTTTGCAAAGCTAAACAATTTAAGGGGTTTAAGTTAAATGTTTAAAGTTGTACAATATTTGGCAATTTTTTTGTTGACATTTTTGATTGATGAACTAAGGAGTTATCCTCATCTAGTTAGATGTGTATTTTTATTTGATTTTATACAGGACTAAGTTAACAATACATTGGTATGTGTGGTAAAACATTATTTTATACCTCCATATAATTCTTGAAAAGCAACATGACACAACATTATTACTATATCAAGAACACATCTTAAGATTGGAGATGCATATGATTTCAAGTGATGTGCTCACTGCAGATTCTATGGTCAATCCATATTGTTATGTAGCCTACTTGTAGGCCTATTGTTTCTATTAAAAAAAAAAAAATTGAAAAAAAGTGGAAATTTTTACAAGCTGAATTTAGTCAGGTTTTGCCAAATGTCAAGAACACAAAAGAGTTTTTTTGCATTAAAAAATAAAAATAAATAGGCTCATAAATTTCATGTTTATTATATTTTCTTTAATTCTTGAATCTTAGGTTGAAAGATATTTACGAAAACTTGATCAAGAAGTGAGTAGATTCAAAATGGAGCTAGAAGCAGATCATGCGGGTATTACAGAGGTTCTTGAGAGAAGTAAGTGTACAATTTATGCTTTCCTCTGTCAATTTTCTTAATGCTTTATACAGTGTGTCATTGTACATTTAGAAGGTTTTTGGTTTGACAATCAAAACTTGTGTAAAATTTTGTTCTTTTATGCAATAAGAATGTTTCATCATATAAGAGTAATTTTAAGCATATCTCTCCTCAGTAGTTATGTGGTCATAATGTAAAATTATTATCATCTTTTTAAGTATTAAGGTACCACTAGAATTTAGAAGGATATCTGACAAAATCAATCCAAGTCGTTTAAGATGTGATTTGATATTGCCAAGGAAGCTAAAACTAATGTTGTATCAAAGTGGTCAAAACAACAGCTGTGAGAACAAAATATTGGTCTCAGTTTCATTGTATCAGTAAGCGGTTATTAAAACATTATTTTGAACACATGGGAAAGGCAAATATAGAGAGAAAGGTCGTTATAAATAGTTATAATGCCTGCATTTTTTGTTAATCCTAACCCTTTCCAATCATTTCTGATATCCATTTCCTACCATATTCTGTTACTTTTTCATACAGGATCTTTAGAATTAGATAGTTCACAGCCTATGAAGTCAGGGTCCGCAAAGTCAGACAGTGAGTGAATTATCCTTATAAGTATTTATACAGAATGCAGGATTTAGATTTTTCTTACGTCTTCTAACATGAATTAATGAGCAGACTCCAAAGATATATTTTGAAGAAAAAAAATTCGAAGAAAATCACACATATGTCAACTAATGTATCACTAGAAACTGGTAAGCTAACAGATGGCCATCGTACAAGTTTTAGGTCAACTACATATCAGGTTATTTATAAAAATAAAAATACAACCACCTCCATAGCATCTGTTGTAATGACGTCACATAATGGACTAATACTGCCCAAGCAGACGAAATCTCATAAAGAATGAAAATAATTGCAAAGCTATTATTTCTCAAATTATAATGAGTTTAGTGTATATAAATGTGATGGCATTTCAAACTATTCAAAAGGGGATATGAAACTGATTCTGATAACTAAAATCTTTTCTTCGTAAATACACAGGATAGGGGTTAATTAACAATCAAAGAAACCAGACTTTCAAATTGAAAAACCCCTGGAATGATATTAAGGACGGTATTTGTTCCCTCTAGAAATGCCGAACATACCGCCGTGTGTGCAGTTGAATATACAATGGCATCTTATTTTGTTTACAAGCGACAGATTCCTTTATTTTTGTATCGCTGCATTTTTCATGAAAATAAAACCATGCGCAGGTTTAGAGTGAGGCAATAGATTATACATTTAGCCTGACGGTAGTGAAGTAAGAGAAAGAACTCAAGAGAAGATGAAAAAACAGGCACTGAAAATGTGTGAGATGTCATGTGATCTCACACATCTCTGCAGCATTTGGAGAGTTCTTCAGGTGCTATGCCGGGGCTGTATTTAAGCGTTTTGTAATTTATAATAATCATTACTTCGAATGTTTCCAAGCATTGAATGTCGATAACCTTGACGAAACAAAGGTTCAACTTTGCAATACTGAAAATAAAGTTAGTTTTAAAATTAATGAATATCTACTTTAAGTTTTCTACAGTTTTGACCTTTCTTCTTGACTACATCTCCACAACATTTTCCCATCAGTAATTATTATTTACTTCAGGAAATTAAACAGTTGACCTGACAGATGCGGTTACACCATCTGTCACGCACATTATGAATTTACAGGGCTCTGGCTTATATACAGATTATATTAACCTGTTTCAATACAAAATCTTGCAAATTTTGTTGCTGGACTAAGATTGCCTTTAAAATTTGAGAAAATGTGTGACTAGAAGATGCTGAATTCAGAATTTACATTTGAATGGAACACTTGCTGTGACTTACATATTTGAAAACACTGTTGATTTTCTTTAAAAGTTGTATTCCATATATATGTGACATCTTCCATTCTCTAATGATGTAATGTATTTACTATGACATGTTTCACCACAGAGAGGAAGGTCTCCCACGATAACCATGTAGACAAACGGGTAAATGCAGACAAGATCCTGTCCACCTTGGCTACCAATGCAGTGCAGGACATCGCACCATCACGGAGTAGTAGTCTAAGTTCCAATAGCAATTCCCTTGTGAATTCCAGGGAGAGTTCAGGCAACTCTCAACCATCCTTACCCTACAGCCTGGATAATGTGGGTTCAAGTAGCGCAATAGCTATGGCTGCAGCACAGGCTGTCTCAAATACGTTACATGTAAGTTGATGTAAATGACTCTGGTTTCTTCTTTATTTCTAAGTGGCCTTTTGATGACGCCTATATTTTTATAGCTATATATTGTGGTGACAGACCATAATTTGTGCTTATTTTATAATTCCAAATACGTTGAAGTAGAGCTGAATTATAGATTGACAAATATATACGAAACTATCTATATCAAATGTATGGTTAATGCAACATGTGTACAAGCAACCCTTTTCCCTTATTTATAGTTTTTTCATGTGTGTAGTGGTGGTTATTTTACCTGACTGTTAAGAAAGCATAAATGCTTGTTAGTAAGCAACCAGAGGACCGACGGCTTTAGGTCCTCTCTGAGAGACCTGGTAATGAGGATTAATGCCTTACCAAAGGGCACTAGCGCATCGCCTTGGTTTCGAAACCGGGTTGCCGTATTACGAGACCACTGCTCTACCAACTGAGCTATTGCGCCTCATGTGAATGTTTTCTTCTTTTGCTTATCTAAGGGGCTTATTTTAGGGTAATGGGAGCAAAATCGCTCCAAGCCCATATTTGACTACCCCCTGTTATAATGCTTCATGCAAACAACCGTAATGCTTTGATATTTACAGATGCAGCAAGGAAGGAGAACAGCAAGCTTGAAGGCCAGCTATGAAGCTATAAAGTCTGGGGGTTACTCTGGGCTTGGTACGTTAGGCAGGGACTTCACCTATGGAAACACTTCGACCTCAGATGGAGTCCCATCATCCTCTTCCTCAAGCACTAAATCTAGCCGCCACAGAAACAAGAAGTAAGACTTGATCTTCTATTTTCCTTATAAGTTATGATGAATTGTTAGTATGAGGGGTCGATGTGGACTATATACCTATTGATGGTATAGCAGTAAGATCATGATTTTCAGCTTTATTAACATCACTCACTTCTGTCATGTTGTGATGCTCATGGTGTTTAGACTTCATTACCCTGGCTATAACCAAGCCGCCAAAGTAACTAGCACTCAAGCATATCAGGTACTCAGTTACACCTGGTGGAGAGTTGTAAATGCAGATCAATGTCTTTCCAGAAGGGTTGATTTTTTAACCCGTTCGCCAAATGACTTTTTGGTACCCTTTCTTCAAATTGTTTTTAATCACCCATGCACGAAATATGAATCATACAAGTTGCATCAAATGAAAGAAGAGGATCTAAGCTTTACATTTATGTGTCATTTATTAATTATAATTGTGATTAAGTTATGATAAAACATTGATAATTCTCGGTTTCGTTTTTTCTGGGACGCACTGTATAATGACACCTCTACTTGGAATTACTTTATTTTTAAAACTTTTTTAAAGGCAAATTTGTGTAGTGCAGTTTTTCTGGGGATTTTTTCTTTCCCTATGGAGTCAAATCCATAGGATCAAGGTTAGCAATAGAGTTTGGCTACTAGTGCTGTGTGAATATTCTGCTATTGTGCCCATGTATGATTATAGGTGTCATCAGGTCTCAAATTAATTTTTTGCCCATGGGGGCTCTTATTTTAATACAAATGTCCATTGAATTGGTGCCCGTGAAACTCCTTGGTATTTTATCATTATCATTTATCTAAGTCAGTATTTTTCCTCTTAAAAAATACTTGTTACATAGCTGTTTATTGACTTATATCCCCGTGAGGACATTTTCTCCATTTCTTCCCGTTCTGCACATAATTTCCTCCTCATTATTCAGAGCAACCTTAATTACATTCTTTCTTTACTTTTAGTCTTTACCATATCCTTCCAAAACACAGGGGCGGATCAAGCTTTTTGCTAAGGGTGGGGGGGGGTACCCCAAATACGATGTGGATCATCGTCCACGAGCCGCAAAGCGGCGAGGCGATTTTTTTTTTTTTTTTTTTAACCCCCGTTAGTGATGTTTTCCTGGCATCTACTGACATCTACTAATACTGTGTAGGTCTGGACACATGATAGCATTTTTCTGTGCACATCACATTTTTCCTTGGCAGCCCAAGGGGGAAGGGGGGGGGGGGGGTTAAACCCCTAAACCGCCTAGATCCGCCCCTGCAACATCCTATGCCTTCTTCTTCTTCTCAATATTGATTTACTGGTCGGGTTACATTATTTGCTGGTCTTTAAGAATCACCAGATTTCAGAGGATTCAAACTTTCACAACGAAAAACTTCTCCATGTTTCAGTCTTTGCGCGATTGTCGATCTCCAGCTCCAGCAGATATTGGGCGTCAGCGTGCACACCGGTACTACCAGCGCAGTATAGCCACTGTGCTGACGGCCGCACCGCGAGCTTCCGTTGTTTGTATCGGGAATACTCGTAGAGATGGTAGAGAAAGCGCCATCTAAGTTCCATTTCATTGGTTTAAGGTTTGAAAATTAATACTCAATATTGTGTTAAAGTTTTATCAGAAAAGATAATCTTAATTTTATAATTCCACGGGGGCGATTTTTAATTTTGCAATCGCCCCCGTGAGCAACCTGACGGGGGCGATTATGGAGCTCACGGGGGCGAATCGCCCACTGCCCCCGTGTATTTTGAGCGCTGGGTGTCATAATAGTTTGGCAGTACAGTATGATCTTGGTCATCGTTTGGATTGACACTTTGAGAAGACGTCTCTATGTGAAATGCACTAGATTTAATTTTTTCTTATTTAACCCTTACTGTACTGGGGGGGGGGGGGGCCTGGGAGGCCCCCCCCTCGACATTTTCGGAGATCGCGCCGCAACCGCTCGGAATTTCGAATTGTCGTTTCATGACTTTTTTCCCTCAAGTCTTACGCACATTTTGATACCATTTTCGTCGAAATCGGATATACCTGTAAGGTGTTACATAACAATTAGTATGCGCATGTCATCAAAAAAGTGCTATAATTGCATATATTCATGTACAAGCAGAAATGTGAAGATATGAATTGATATCAAATTGCTTTTATATGTTTCTCAAAGTAACTTGATGTTTTTCAGAACAAAAGAATACATTAGAAATAAAACAATAGATATAATAAGAAAAAAAAACAATGAAATACATAAGAAAATAAATAGTTGAAAATCGCATCAAATTTGCATAAATTATCATTATTAATTACATCAAATAACTATTTTGTGTTAGACAAGAAGTTTCATATGAATAATGAGTTTCAACATTACAAAAGTGGAGTCTGACAATTTTTGTAATGATTCTAGTTCCCTGTATATTTCCAGATTTTAAATTAATGAATGCGTAATTTGCATATTCATAATTTATGCAAATTAACCTATGCATTTTCAAATATCATAAAAATAATGAAACCTCATGAATTTGAGATGAAGGAAACATTTATTCAATACATTTTCAAGATTCTTCACAAGTCTACGGACAAATATGTAGAGTTTTCTGTAAAATGCATAAAATTAGCATTTTGCATAATTAATTAGGCTATAACGACAAAAATTTGCATATTAGGAAAAAACTAATTATACCATCTTGTTCCTTACGTAAATATCTACAAACATGCAAATTTTCGCGTTCATCGGACATTCGACGGCCGAGATCATAGGGGGGGCCTCCCAGGCCCCCCCCAGTCAGAGAGTGCTCGAAATAGCCCAGTACAGTAAGGGTTAAAGGGAATACATAAATTTAGAAATTAAATAGTATTTAAAGATATCAGTTATTTATCACCCCTTATTTCCAATTTCTTTATTTCAGGAGGAAAAAGGGTAGCAGCAGTTTAGATTTGTGAGTATCTTCGTCGCTATTACACTTTTTCATTATAATAAAATCAGAGAGGGATATAAAGTTAGTATTACCGTATTTGCCGGCGTAAAGGCCGCAGTATTTTTGGAAGAGAAAATACCAAAAAGTCGGGGTGCGGCCTTTACGACGAAAGAGTGAAAAAAAAAAAAAACGAAAGTCAAAACCAACACGAATTTGCACGTATGGGACTAGAAACGGTAAAATAACAATACCACTATGGTACAGGACATTTCCAAACATCTTACCGACAATTTTATCTTGCATTATTGACATGAAGACGAAAATAAACGTCCTAACACAACATTTGCCGATAGATCTTGATCTAAGTTCGTGCCAATGCATTGCAAAAGTAAAGGAAGGGACAGTCTAACGGAGCTGCCGCGAACATCCATCCGAAGTCGCCATTTTGTTTTTCCATTTTATGCAGTTTCGCATTACACCGTACATTGTGGTAGGGGTATATCGGACACCAAATCTGCCTGCGATCACTTTTTTAGCTAAACTTCCGGTAAATTATAAGAATATGGATGAATTTGGTATCAGTTTGTAAAAAAAAAAATAGTGTTTTCGAGAAAATTATGATTATTTTGTTTTGTCCATTTTTTTTTTTTTTCCCTCTTTGAAATGTCAAAGTTGGGGTGCGGCCTATGCGGCGGTGCGGCCTTATCGCCGGCAAATACGGTAGCCTTTATCAGTGTAGGAAGCCATCCTCAGTCTGGATGGTATTTCTTGAACCCAATAAATTAATACCTCATTATAAATCAGTAGACTTTAAAAAATGTAATTGAAGAAAAATCTATATCAAATTCCAACCTTCGTTCAATATGCAATGCTCTACATGCACAACGATGCAGTGAACCCAGTTTGGGTCAGTAATGATGTGTATTTTAACTCATTTTGGTACTGGAATATCTCACAGGATGATACCATTATAATTACATGTGAGATATACAATGAGCACTCGGTCTGTAGGTCAAATTTGATACTTAGTTAGAAATCCGTTATTTAGAGGATGTGTGTCTGTCATCTTTGCTTTCATTACCATTTCAGGCTCATTTTCATTCTCTAACCCTTCACAGATTACAAATGGCCAACTCTATCATAAAAGTGAGGTCCAACCAACTTAAATTCATATTCATTCCCTTACATAGACACAAGAGTTCATCCAGTTCCACCAGTCAGCAGCAGCAGCAGCAGACACAGCAGCAGACACAGCTGCAGCAGCAGCAGCAAGGGGTAGAACTGACTCCTCTCACAGAACCTTTAACAGAACAACCTGCTGAAGATACCACAACGACATATGATTGGACCTTTGATCCAAACGAACCTAGATACTGCTTGTGTAACCAGGTGTCTTATGGTGAAATGGTGGGATGTGATAACCCCAAGGTAAGCTTTTTTGTGTGTGTTTGGTTGACTTTTTTCAGTAGGGTGATAGGGGCCAAGTAAACTAATGGCAAATGTCACAGTATGTTTTCAAATGAAGGACATGGTAGGAAAATCTAAGCTCAAATGATAAACACCATCAAACTAATGATCTATTGCTTTACAACTGACATTTGTTATACGCTAGAGCAGTATAAAAAGTCTCTAGTAACAGATTACATTGAGAAACTGCTTACATGTTGCTTAGTCAGTAGTGCTGTTGAGTTTACTGTGTACGTTGTCAGTAGCAATGTGTTTACCATTTACAGTCACTACACTTCAAATTTTCCATCAAAATGTAGTATTACTAAACCCTATCTAGCCTGGGGGTGTTTCATAAAGCTGTTCGTAAAGTTACGCATGACTTTACGAACGACTTGTCTATGAGAAGCCAAATGGGATGCTCAATCATTATTGATTATTATTTATTAAGTTGAACTTTGCAGATGTAGATTAACATTCTTATTATAACAACCATTTTTAATGCAAAGTATGTTTTTTGCCATAATTTAATTGAGGTTATTGGAAATATCAGAAAAAACTTTGGGCATCCTATCTGGCACTTCATATACAAGTCATTCTTAAAGTCATGCGTAACTTTACAAACTCTTTATGAAACACCCCCCTGGGCTACTTTGAAACTACATAACCTGGGGGGGGGGGGGGCTTCTAAGGCCCCACCTATTTGCATGCATGTCAAGTGAAGGGTAAAGATAACTACGTTAATTGATTTTTTTTTTTTTGTTGAAAAACTCACTCATTTGCATATTTATGCAAATAAGGTAATCAAATTCACATTTTTATGCCTCCGTTACGAAATAGCCGGAGGCATTTATGTTTTCGAGTTGTCCGTCCGTCCGTACGTTCTTGTGATCGCGTTATCTCAAGAACCAACGGATGGATTCCTACCAAACTTTGGTCATGTATGTAACTTGCATAGCCAATGAATTGATTAGATTTTGGGAACATGAGGTCATAGGTCAAAGGTCACATGGCTCATTATATATGCAAAAATAGCTTGTGATTGCATTATCATTAGAACCGATGGATGGATTACCATCAAACTCAAGACATGTATGTATCTTGCATTTGGGGTCATGAGGTCAAAGATCAAGAGGTCATACATGTATATGAGAAATAGCTTGTAATCTCGATATTCTGAGAACCTTTTAATGGATTACGACCCAATTTGAATTTGAAAAATTTCTTCCATTTTGGTTTGTAAAATTGCTCTATGACGCAGGCATCACTTTCGACTGCGCGCTGTCGGAAGTTCCATCTAGTTACCCATGAATCATATATTCTTCATATTTAAACATTAGTTTTCACTACATACATTCTTTATACCATTAGGGATAATAATAATTTTAATTTTTTTTTTGAAGAGCCAGGTTATTCCTTATGTTATCTGATATTTTGATATTTTCTTATGTATTACATTGTTTTTTAAAATTTATGTATTTTATTGTTTTTGTTGTTTTATTTCATTTCTAACTATAATTCAACTATTTTGAACCCCAAAATACCCACCTAAACTATAAACAAGACCAAATAACCAATGTTTTATCTCTTTTTTGGAAGAATGCGATTTCCGTTTGTTCTGTACACAAATCACGAAAATGAGTGATTTTCGGGCTGACAAAGACAAAAGGTCACCTGACTTTGTAACAGTAGGTCCGATATATTCTAAAAAATTATTTCAAAAGATGTGCAAGACTCGAAAGACAAAAGTCATAAAATTATCAAGAAAAATGTAGAGTGGGGGGGGGGGGGGAACTAAAGCTTCCCCACCCCCCCTCCACCCCGGGCTAAATAGGGTTACGGGTTAGAGGCAAGCCTCTCCGTAAGTCAAAGCAGACCGGGAGCCAAATATGTGGAAAAAGTGGCTCCTGGTCCTTAAATTTTTGAGAGAACCGGGAGTTGTTTTTCCAGGACCTAGAGCCATTTCCAAAATTATTGAAAATATGTATTATTTTTAATTTTTAATGTTACCAGTTACCTTTACCCTTATTTTATTCATTAGACTATCAGTACACTATAAAGTAAACACTGCACAGCAGTGGTAGCAGTTTGAGATGTAAACAAAAACACAGACGGAGACAAAAACAACATGCAACAATAGGCAAATTCATACAAAAAAATGTATTCACAAAATTGACTTAAAAACACATCAGACAATCAGTCTGAACCACGTCATTAGTATATTTGAAAAAAATTATTTTTAGGTGCTGTAAAACCAAAGAAATAGAGGAAAACTGACCAGATATTTGAACATAAAATCGTACATGTAAAATTGTCCAATTCTCAATTTTCATTCAACAGCTGATCGATGATGCGCACGGGTGCGTAATGTGCGTTCTCGAAATGGAAATCTTAACCTCGCAAACAAATCTTCCGCCACACTCTCCACGGAACATGGATGGTCCGTGGTGGGAAGCTAGCAGGCTGGCAGTTTGCCAACGAGGCTACTGCACCAGCGGCAAATCCGCAGCGCGCAAAATTACCGGTATTCCAAAGGTTTGTGGTGGGAAGCTGGCCGGCTAGCTTTTTGTCAAAACAACTTGTCAGTGAAAGACTTCCAAATTCCATTTGAGATTATATAATATATTTGACCAAAAACAAACCTCTGTAGATCTCTAATGATTATACAAATGCTTGTTTATTTCTCCATTAGACATTTTTTTTTCTTGATTCTTTGAGCCATTTGTTAATGCGCGAGTCGATGCAATCTATGATCTATATATGGTTATTGGTAGCACTTGCGGATCTCATATCAAAAAAATTTGCTGCAAAAACAAATTTCAAGGGTGATTTTGAAGCAGTGAAGAAAATTTGCGCTGGGATTCGCAGCTTATCACAGAAGGACTTTAGGATTCACATTGTAAAATGATTTTTCAGAGCTCATTCAGTCCACATTTAATTTGTATCAAGTAAGTTTTTTGTCAGAATCGTGAACATTTAGTGCCGACCATGTGAAAGTTTCTTAACCCTTACTGTACTGGGGGGGGGGGGGGGGGGGGGCCTCATTTTCGGAGATTGGGCCGCAACCGCTTGGAATTTTGAATTGTCGTTTCATGACTTTTCCCCTCAAGTCTTACGCACATTTTGATACCATTTTCGTCAAAATCGGATATACCTGTAAGGTGTTACATAACAATTAGTATGTGCATGTCATCAAAAATATGCTATAATTGCGTATATTCATGTACAAGCAGAAATGTGAATACAGGTTTAGATGTATTTCTTCCTAAGTGGGAGATATGAATTCATATCAAATTGCTTTTATATGTTTCTCAAAGTAACTTGATGTATTCCAGAACAAAAGAATACATTAGAAATAAAACAATAGATATAATAAGAAATAAAAAACATTAAAATACAAAAGAAAATAAATATTTGAAAATCGCATCAAATTTACATAAATTATCATTATTAATTACATCAAAATAACTATTTTGTGTTAGAAAAGAAGTTTCTTATGAATAATGAGTTTCAATTAACATTCAAAAAGTGGAGTCTGACAATTTTTGTAATGATTCTAGTTCCCTGTATATTTCCAGATTTGATATTCATGAATGCGTATTCATAATTTATGCAAATTAACCTATGCATTTTCAAATATCGTAAAAATAATGTAACCTCATGAATTTGAGATTAAGGAAACATTTATTCAATACATTTTCAAGATTCTTCACAAGTCTACAGACAAATATGTAGAATTTTCTTTAAAATGCATAAAATTAGCATTTTGCATAATTAATTAGGCTATAACAACAACAATTTGCATATTAGGAAAAAACTAACTATACCATCTTGTTCCTTACGTAAATATCTACAAACATGCACATTTTCATGTTTATCAGACTTTCGACGGCCGAGATCATAGGGAGGGGGGCCTCCCAGGCCCCCCCCCCCAGTCATGAGGTGCCCAAAATAGCCCAGTACAGTAAGGGTTTAACAGGTACTCATTTTTTATGTCTTGCCAGTCGCCAAAAGTCAGGGACTGTTCGATAAACATCGCCCAATGCCCGCTTACAGAAAGGCTCGGTTAGAGGAATAAAAGCTCTTTGAATATTTGATTGGTTGATATCATACTGAAGTGCATATTTTGATGGCTTAAATGATGCCTCTTTATTTGTTTCTTGCAGTGTCCAATCGAATGGTTCCATTATGGCTGCGTAGGGATCACCAATCCGCCCAAGGGTAAGTGGTTCTGTCCGCAGTGTGCCTCTGCCATGAAACGTAGAGAAAAGAAGGACACACCATCGTCATCATCATCATCGTCCTCTCACAAGCAGAAATGACTATCAAAGAAGATGAAGAAGGACAAAAGGAAGTAACGATGATCATCAGTGATATATTTCAGATAGTGCAAACCATTCTTTAAAAAACAATAGGCGTCAGATAATTATATTAAATGAGAATGTCCACATGCATATTGTGCTTCAGTTGCATCATGCCCATCATTGTAGTGAAGGCAATTTGTCATATCATGGCAGTGCATGGCAACGGATCTTGCTCAACTCTGAATGTAAATGCAGAAATGCAGTTTTCTTGCGGTGATCTGCGACGACATATGCTGTGATTTCTTCAAAGAATTTCTTGTATCTGTGTTAACTTTTCAACAATATACATTCATGTCTGTGTTCATAGAAAATGCAGAACAGTTTTTGTGAATGATTAGAGAAGCAGCCATTCGTGATGCGGATATTATGATAGAGAGCGCTGTGTTCATCGTTTGTAAGCTTTTGCTGTGTCCTTCAAAGTTTTGTTAAACCTTATTTGAATTTGTATCATGTTTTTTTTCTTTTTGAGTGATCCATAATGACTCTGTATTCATAACTCAGCTTTATAAGGGAAATCCACCCTGATATTAAGTTTTAATAAAAGTATAAACATGATATCAAGAAAGTGTCTGGACAAGGAATGAAAGGTGCAACACAAATGGCAGGTGAAAGAGTTGCATGGCATGCTCTCGTGAAGACAGCAGCGCTTTACAGCGCCACCTGAAGTTGATGATGATGATGATGATAAACACGAGAGAAACTGTTCAGCTGAAGATTTAGGAGGACCTATTGAGAATAAGAAATTCATGAACTTTTAAATTTGTACTTGATCAAATGAAATCTGGCAACGCTGATGGACCTGTTGAGCACCTCTCCCATTTGTTCTGTAGTATAAACAAATTGTAAATATCTATTTTCTCTATTTAAAAAAAAAAAATAACCTGTTTAAAAATACTTTATTTATACAAGCACCGTAGATACAATAATTGCTTTTGGCAAATATCTTTTACACAATCCTGTATGAAATAGATCTATTTCTTCATTAACTTCTAGGAAAAGGATATTTACCAAATCATAACTTCAAAACAAAAGAGAGAGGTGCTGGAAAGTTGCAACACATAGTTGCCAATGTGTCCCAATATGCAGCATTTTGAAGATGATATACCGGTATGCCTTGTGCATAATTGCTACCATAACAACCTTTTGATTTGATTAGTAATATATTGCAAATTCCATACATATGTAGGCACACAGCCTCTTGCTTGTATTTCCTCCTCACATTACATAGATTGCAAAGGTTAACATTATATGAAGTTATAATGATGTCATACAGCCTGCATTCAGCATTAGTTTTTTTTGCTTTTTCTTATCTGTATTATGGCACCTTAGGTGGCAAGATTCAATACATGTTGATTTATAAATTATGGGGTATGTTGCTGATATATACGCTGAATTTTGTATGTGTTTTCTTCCCTTTTTTCATACAAGAGGGATACAGAATTGTTAAAGATAAAATGGAGACCGGCAATCAAACCCCACCATACTACCATCAGTAAATATGTGTACAGGTGTGACAATAAAATTCCAGGCTCTGATATTTGAATTTAATTGGTACTTCATTTAAAGAGAGAAATTAAAAAAAATATCATGAGGTGTTTAGTGTGGTGATTCAGGTATTATAAGCTATGATGAGAAAAAGGTAATATTATATGTTTTGTGTGGGCTTTCATTGACCATTTATATAGCAATTTTTACATTTTCTAGTTGACAATTTGTGTACACTTCTTGTGTGTTTCATACAATTTGTTTAACCATATGAAACTCTAGCCAGGATAATAGAAATGAATGAATGTAACTTTGCTGTAGCACCCATGAATATGATTGCATATTTGTTGTTAGATATCATGGTACTGAATCGAATTGGGGAATGCACAAACTACCATTACCAAAAATAACTTGTCCCCTGTAAATTGACTGAATAGTTTCATTTGGTTGGAGGTATTTCTCATCCATTGGGTATTGAAACAATTTTGTTCTTTCTTCTTTCTTGGTTAGCTGGAAGTTATCAGGACATTTTCTTTTGTGAACCAATGTTACTTTTTGTTGCAAAGAATTTGAAGTCCATTGTTAAAAGGAAGAGATTTTCAGCTCCAAACCTGTCTTTCCTGAAGGTATAACAAATTGTAAATTGCCCATAATTTATGACATGTACCTCACCTGTATGTATTTTAAAGTCTTAGTCGGTTGTTCTTGTTTGTGACCGTAAAGAGGAATCAGAAAAATTCTTTTTTTAGAATGGAATATTTCCCCTTCATACAAGAATGTATGCTTCAGAAGTTTAGGCAATAGATTCTGCTTCAGTGATAAGTATTTTGTTGTTGTTTTCAGGACTTTATGTTTCAGTAATGAATTTGTGATTTTAAAAAAAATTATGCCTAATGGGCAAAAATGTCTTCCGTCACTGAATAGGGTTTCTCACAGTTTTGCTGTCCAAATGGGACCTTGTAAAAACCAAAATTATGAAGAGATAAGCTTTCTCATTAAATCAAGAAATATTTTGTTTATGTGCCCTCTGAGATTCATGTAATATTATGAGTTGACTATGTCACCTATTACTATAATAAACTTTTCTAAAGTTAAAAGTTGACTGCCCTTCATCAAAGTGGTAAAGCTGGAGAATTAAAAATAGACACTATTCTCAACACAGTTATGGGCAATGTTCTTGTACTCTAACTGTAGGTATATTTGCCTTTTTCTGAGCACCTTTAGCAATAGACGTAAAGAAAATAATAAAGTGAATTTAAAAAAAAAGATTGTCAAATTAAATTAATGTAATGGCTGTCCTTTGACAAAAAAGGATTTATATTATTTGTCGTTGTTAATAGATGTTCAAAACAATTTTCACTCAAACTTTGCGCCCTACTTTAGTCCTGTCTCTAATTATCATGATTGATTGTTACTGTTCACATTATTTACATTTTTCTTCCAGTATATACTAAATGTAGTCGATCAAGAGGCAATGTTTTGAGATTTGACACTATAGATGTAGGTAGAGATTACATGTCAATTTTCTGAATCGTCATATTTCCCAAGTATTTTTAATCTGAATTATTAATCAGACGCTTTTTCCAAAGGTTTGTAACTCTGTTGGTTAGTTACCATGAAGGTAGTATGAAGGTTTATACATGTGTAGCTCCAAAAATGATACAAGCCCCATTATCATTTTAGGAATCACTAACCCTTACCTATTTTAGAATCATGAACTTTCAGATAAATAACCTTTTGAGTAATGCAACAAATGTTCTGAATAAAGAACCCTAATTTACTTTGGGAATTATGAACCCCTTGGTATGGGAAATTTGTGTTTCAGAATGTGAACCTTGGGGAAATCTGAACACTCCTCTTGGATATGTTGGTCTTTCCATTGAGCAGGATAAGGTCTGATAGCCAGATATTCAACCAAAAAGAGTTCAAATGATTTTGATTGCAGCACAGGTAAGGGTTTCACCAGTCTGCAAACTTCTACATAGACAGTGTCTGTTGGAAAAAATGGAGGTATGCTTTAAGATTATGGTGACATGCATTTTAAGACAAGTACTGTATACATGTCAAAACCTAACCTGGAAACCTGTCAAAATCCATAGTCCATATCCATCATGTTATTACTGTATCCTGTTGATAATTAATCTAATTCATCTGATGTGAAATCTGTTTCCCTCTTGTTCTTTTCATCTAAACAGTGTTTGATTGGTTGTGTCATATTCATAATGTCACATGAATGTCTGCCATCAAGGAAACGTATGAAATCAAAATCTAAATCAAAATTTCAACTTTACATCAGTAAATGGTAACACATGACATATTTGAATTGATTTGTGTGTAAGTTTTGTTGAGTTGAGATGTAGAAATCTGTGAATGTAAGAAATTGTATTTATAACTTGTCATTCTTGTAAATAATATGACATCCGAAGCGGAGTTAGCTGCAGTACTGAGAGAATACAGGTCAGATGAACCATTGAACATCAAAATTGACTGGAGGCTTTTATGTGCTATATATAATGATAGTAATGGTGTATAGAAGATAAAAGATGAAGGGGAGTATAAGGGAGAGAGAGAGGGAAGAGGAGGGAAGGGGAGGGGAATGGGATGAGAGAAAGGGGGGGGGGGGAGAGAGAGAGAGGAGGGAATGAGAGGCAAACTCTTACAGAACTGAGGAGGGCAGCATGGGGAACTTGGGGGGAGGGAGAGATAGAAAGGAAGAGAAACGTTATACAAAAAGGGGAGGGTAATATATTAACATCCAGGGTCAAAAAATAGACGGGGAATGGGAGGGTATAGGAGAGAAAGAGATTCAGAGTGTGTGTATGAGAGAAAAAGGGGGTCGAGAGGGAAGGTTGCATGAAGGGACAGAGATAAAGTGAGGGGAGGAAGGGGAAGGAGGAGCTAGTCTACATTATAAGTAGATAAAAAAAAATTGGGGGGGGGGGGGGGAGAAAAGGACTCGATCTGAAAGCATACACATCGAGGAAGAGCTGAGAAAGGAGGAAAAGGTAGCTTACATATAAATTAGAGGGAGATGAATCCAACTATACCGTGGGAGATTAAAACAAATATATGATTGCGGGTAGAAACCGCTGATGTACTTAAAGGAAAATTATAACCAAGGGAAATTTGTGCAGGTTTGTGGCAACAGTGACTATTATTTTGAACGGACATTATGACCTCCAAATTTTCTTCAGCGATTTTCAGGTTTAGAAATTTTGACTTTTTATAACAGGAATGTGTGTTATACCAAAAACGGCAATTAAAAAGTTTGTTTTGTTCTTAATTTCAGATTGTCCATGCAAGATGATGACACCGAGGGGGCATTATTTCTGACATATTGCATAATAATCTGAACTCGTTGTGCTAGTGAGTCGTACACGTAGCACAAACATCTTCCGGTGCGCGCGCGCAGCTAGTGATCCCAATTTCCAAAGTCAACTATCATGTTCATGATCTGCATGATGTCCGCTTTATAATTCAGAAAGTTTCACCTTGCGAAAGGGTAAGAATTCACAAACCTGTACTTGATCGTTAATCACATTTGAATACTCTTTGGAATTATTTATTTTATTCTCGCTGGGACTTTGTCATTTATGTGTGATTTGGTCATTTTAGTCGATTTTTGAAGTTGAGTAACATGTCTACAGAGTCTAGCTAGATGATCTAGAAAATCTAGTCAATATTGTTCGGGTACAGGGCGGTACACCGTACTTGCCCGCCCCAGAGTTTCCCGAGAAGTTGGACACGATACTCCGATGGACACGCCCACGCTGATGGGGAGCCCTATGGTATTATTTAAATGTGGCCACACAAACATTTGGCACCAAACATTTGACTTGAGATTTAGATTTGACTTGAGTAGGGTGGCCAATACCTGTGCGTAATGCTTCTACGCCTAATAAACACATTAAACACTGCAAAACATATGGTGGTGTGACCAAAGTTCGCGCGTGACCATAGTTCGCGCATGAAGGGGTGACCAAAGTTCGCGGACATTTTAGAATATACTACAAAATGTGATATTCGATCCATGATTTCTCACATTCTACACAACTTTATTTATTTCAATTATTACCAAATGGACAGCAAAGTTTTTTAGGTCTACTACAGATTGGTTCAACTAGAAAAATTTACCGTCGAAGGATGTCCGATGTCCGATCGTGCGTGCGCGCTGCACCTAAAAAAGTCATAAAAACAATGAGACCTAACTTCACGCACGGTGGTTTACAGTTGATTTATCAAAAAATGCGATCCATCAAAAATAAGGTAATATCATAATTTGCAAGGCAAGATATCGTACAATCAGTTAGTACCACTCTTAACTAACAATTTTGAGGATTTCGGATCTCAAAATGAAGATTTCCAGACCCTTATCGGTAAGTTGATAATTTTTCAGAACGGACGCAAATAACTGCAAAATTTGCGGATCTTTTGTCAATATTTTCACAATTTCGCACCCAATTCTAAAGAAAATTTCGTTTCTGGGTAATTTTATGACCCTCTTTCCATTGGTGATATCAGATTTTCGAAATCTTACCGATTTTTTGAGAAAGCGAACTTTGGTCACGCGCGAACTTTGGTCACACCGCCATACTAACACTAAAAGTGCTTATAACAGGAGAACGATACGCGATGCCTGTGTGGGACTGAGACAACGAAATCTTTGAGCACCGTCGAAAACTCCAAAGGTCAAAATGCGACATAAAAATGTGAATAAGTTAGCTTTTTCACGCTTTTTATCATAAAAAATTGTGTTTTTTTTATATGAAAATCAGTTTATTAGAGGGATTGACTCCGAAAAATAATGATAAAATTCCAATTTCTTACGCCAAAAACGGAACCTTCGCACCTGCTTCCACCGTATCTGTGTTTGTGAATTACAATGAATCTATGGGTTTCGTAAGAATACAATTTAAAAGGGGAAAGTGGAGAGACAAAGAGAGAAAAGAGTGAGAACTCATGTATGGCTGACATATAAAAAGGAGACACAGGATAAGCTTTTTAAACAAATAAATGACATGCAGATAGGGACTATACTGTCATCAACACATAAACATTGAAAAATATTGTCTTTTATTTGAAAGATTTAACAAGGTATTTTTTTCGGGCAAAATTTCAATGATAGAGAGAATTATTTATCTTTTTCAAAGTTTCAATATAAAGTTCGGCTTCTGATCGAAGCTATGTCCCTTTTTGGAATGTTTAAATATGTAACGCCCATCACAAGAGGGCAGTAAATATGCGCGAACTTAGGTCACACTTTTTGACAGACGCCGGTAGTGGTAAGCCTTCCGATATTTTCATCTTATCATTGGTTTGAAGTAAATACAGCCTTGGAATGTCATTTTAATCTGATTATATGATAAATTACGTATCAAACATGATATATGTTGATCTGGATATTTTGTAATGTGCAAGAAAAGAAAAATATCCGCGAACTTTGGTCACCCCTTCATACAATAGGGAGGCCAATGCCCAAATCTAACTTTTTAATTACTAATTTGTTTATAATAAAACAAAGATTAAAAGAAAGCATTTTCTTTCACTAAGACAACTCACCTATCTGCCGACTCCTTAAGTTCCATAAAATAGGAGATATCCAGCTCTTTTGTAGCCATTTCCTTCTACGCCTATCCGTACGTAAGAGCCTTGAAACAATTATATTTCATGTCGCAAAATTACGTTCATAATTAGACAGGCCCGAGGGAATGGGCGTGTCATTGTCCGAACAAAGTTCATGATGAAGTTTAAAACTTCGCGCAAAAGTACAATCACTCAACAGCGGCTAGCCTTGAATCGGTCGCACACATACACACCGACATGCAGGCAAGCCCCGATCCAGGCTGAAATCCAGCCATCAATGTGCGAACGATTACATCTTCTACTACTACGAGCTGAAGGCGATGGTTGAAAAATGAAGAAGAGATATCAAAATTGGCAGGAAAGAAATAGATATAATTCATTGATATTTACCTTAGATGTGTATTCCAATAACTTGATTTCCTCATGAGTATTCCTTATGATTTCAGTCTGAGATCTACTGTACAATCAACAAGAACGACCTCCAAAATCAGCACATCATATTATTTAATCCCCGGAATGATACTATGCATGCACCTCGCATGTACGTACCTAGTTAGCTAGCTACCTGGATCTCTCTCTCTCTCACTCTCTCTCCTTCTTCTTCTTCGGCTATACGTGACAACACATCATCCAATCATGTCTTTTCAACCGAACTTCTCAATTGTAGTATAGACTGCTCACGTAGACATTTTTTACTGAAATATCTGTTTTTTAAACATTTCTCATGCATGATTTACTGCACGAGCTCGACACTCAAGTCTATAGTGCTGTGAGAATAAGGTACTGTGTGTGAGACTACGAGAGATTTGTCTGGCGCGCGATATGACCGGAGCTCATACATATTGATACTATGATGTCGCAAGACTTCCATATTTGGCTAGAACAATGACAGCACTGTTCACAGTTTTTCTTCTCATTTTGAGATGGCTGTAGCTATGGGGCTCAAACCAACGCAAGATTGACATAAACATCGTACTCTATCTACCTTCGAATGTTCAGTTGGTAAAAATCTGTATTTAAAAAGATATAATCTTTTTTCTTTATATTTTCTAGTTGTTAGAAGTGACAATTGTGAACATCTGAAATGTTGATCTCTATCAAAAGTTCTTTACTCAAAACAGATCCCATATTTTTAGGGTCTACCTTCTGCCAATGAGAAGGTTTTTAGTGAGCAAACCTCCAGGATTTTCTTAGTCGGTTGTGCGCGCCCGTCATGGTCTTCTGCTACAACAATTATTGGATTAAAATACGTCAAAATCTGCAAGATCGTCAACAAATGGTGAAAGACTGTTACAGATCCGTGATTATAGGTATGTTGTGAAATGTATAATTGTATTTTCTTTTCTCATTTTCATCAATTTTAATTTTTACATAATTTTTTTCTCCTTGCTAATTTTTTTAAGTGGACGACGAGCGCACAAATCGTAGGTGTAGAAGCCTTACGCCTGAGCATTGGCCTCCCTACATACAGGCTAGACTCTAGAGTAGAGTCTCTGTGGCGCTTGTTCAGAAACCTATCCAAAATTTGACCCGTAACTCTGGCGTGGAGATACCCTACTAAAACATACCCAAAATGAAGTAAATATTCATTAAATGTCCAAATAAAGATCATGAGTTAAAAGTCGTTATGTTTTTAACCTGTTTCATGTCAATTTTCTTGTCATTTTTGGAGTATTTTTCGGAAAAACAGTGATGGTTCACTTTTTCACAGGTTTCACGGCAACCCGCTACACAATACAAGTGCATACCGATGGTGGTTTGCAGGCGGGCGCGTGCCTGTGTGATGTTATCTATCGTAATGAGGATCTGAGACATTACGGTAGATAACTTCACACAGGCGCGCGCCGGCCGCGCCCGCCCGCAACCCACCATTGGTATGTACTTGTAGGCCTATTGTGCAGCGGTCAAAATTGCGGGCCCGAGTTATGTGTAACAGGGAATTGATGATCTCGATGTGGCTTTAAATTGCAGGCGTGAGGCCGCATCCGGAGCCGGCTTCAAAAGCCAACACATGTGTAACGGGCCATAGTCCATTGTCCAAAGCACTGAAAGCAGTGGAATTTGCTTAAAAGCTGACACATGTGTAACAGGGGCCATAGTCCACTGTCCAAAGCACTGAAAGCAGTGGAATTTGTTTAAAAGCTGACGCATGTGTAACAGGGGCCATAGTCTACTGTCCAAAGCACTGCAAGCAGTGGAATTTGCAAGTATGAAACTTTTTAAGAATACCGAACTAAAATAGAAATTAGAAATTTGTTGAATTATACCTTTTTCAAGCTTATAGTGCATGAAAAACAACAGCGCTTAGTTTATCCCTTTCAATTTTAAGAGAACGGCTGCTCAGAAAATTGTACTATGGATCATGTTCAAACGGAAGATTTGTGAGAATTATTTTGGCCGATTTGATGACGTCATTGGGTGAAGCGCAAACCGGGAAGTATCGCGCAGAGCCTATCTTGTGAGTGCTGAGCTTACCGAGACTAGCTCGATGCAAGCAAATGTTGAATGCTCATACAAATAACAAGACCCGTACTTGTCTGAATAAGACAAAATGTGAAATGTGATTGCTTACTTCAATTCTCGTCTGAAATCTTACTTTTTCTTGTGTAAATAAAGTTTGCTGAATGTTAGTCTGATCTGCTAATAAATAAAGTTAGCAATCTATTGCACTTAGTGCAGTCCATACAATCTACCATACTCAATAGTGGAGTAATTTATAAAGTCTAATTCTAAGTCAGTAGCAGTGCTCCCTTCAATTTCAATAAATAAAACTTATCTCACCAATCTAAATTATTAAGTCTTTATTCATCTGGCATTGAAATGGTACTACATCACCAACACTGTCCTCGTACTACCAAGCTCCAAATCCGACCATTTCAACCTGTTCACCCTCACGCACGGCGTCGGCATCCAGTGCCCCGCCGTGCCCCTCACCATCACCTTCTCCTTCTCCAACTTCACCTGGATCTTCTGGTTTTTATCTCTAATACCCCCCTCACATACACAGATTTTTCTTACGAGTCCTTACGGATCGCACAAATTCACGGATCTTTTACGGATCCTTACGATTTGGCCACTTTTACGACCGATTTAAGATTTGTTACGAGTTATTACGAGCTATTTACGGTTTGTTAAGGATTATTACGAGTTATTACAATATACTTATGGCAGAATTCCACGATTTGTTAGGAGTTGTCACGGATACCTTCGAGCAACTTACGTGTTAGTAACGACCTGTTAATGTGTTGTTATGAGTTAGTTACGAGTATTTACGAGTCCTTACGAATTTAACCAAAAAATAACAACTGAAAATGAAGTGTTCAAATTCGCAGCTTTTATACCTTTCCCCCAAAACAAAAACGATACGTAAGAATACTTAAATTATACGTATCTATTTGTACAGTACTCGTAACTACACGTAGTGTGCTCGCAATAACTCGTAACAATCCATAAAGCCATTGTAACACGACCCAAATGAAATCGTAAACAACACGTAAGCACTTGTAACAATCCGGAAATGATCCGTAAGTAATCTGTTAATAATCCGTAAACAAATCGTGAACGTAAACCAACCGAAACAAATCGTTAGAGAAAATCTTTACAAGTCATTTACGTATTCTTGCAAGCAGTTTACGGATGGTAACGTGTTGATGCGAGCGGTTTACGATACTTACGGATTGTTATGACCTATTTACAAGTTATTTACGAACAAATAAATCCGTGGACAATCGTAAGAAGATTTTTGACATGTCAAAAAATTGCCTCTCCTTTCACGGATCCTTACGAGTATCTGCGAGTTGTTGCAAGTTGTGACAAGCTATTTACGGATACCAGCGAGTTATTTACGGATGCTTGCGATTGACTATGAGTTGGCGATCCGTAAGAACTTGTAAGGAAAATCAGTGTACAACTGTATGTGAAGGGGGTATAAGAAGAAATTGACTTGATGCAGGTCCCGGCAGAAAAATCCATACTTAGCTACAAACTACTCTAAAAGAAAGCAGAAAAATAAAAAAAACAGACTGGTGAAAGTTTGAATGAATTTTGACCAGATGTCATGCAACTACAAAATCCTGGCAATTTCGCTATTAAAAATAGAGCGCCATTTACTTAGGCTTGCTTTTAACTACAGTGTATGCGGTAAGGAGAATTCTACCAGTACCACAGTCCACACTTGATTTTTAAGATGGGAAAATGTTGAATTCTTTATGGAATGAGTCTATTTGCTTAACTAGCTGCACCACAGTACAGTGTTTGTTTCATTGAGAAATGCTGATCTTAAAATCAAACAGTGTACAGAAAAGATGAACATCTATTTGACCTAAATCGTCTCAATGTGTGAATGGATGTAGATGATTGTATACCCAGCCCTCTCACCATTGTATAATATGCTTTTTCAAACAGCAAGCTAGGAGGATTTTAGACAGAAATATATCAGGTGTAAAATTTCCCCAACAAGCGTACTAGCAAAGGTGGACAAATATTTGTAAATATTCATATTTCAAATTCAAATTCAAATTCAAATTCAAAGTTTATTTAACACTCTCTTCATAAAAACATTCAAACATACAAATACAGCATGGAATGATATAAAAAAAAGAACAAGATAGTGATAAGAATTACAATGGCAATTATCCAACCTTAACCCATTAGCAACCTGAGATTTTGTAAAGATGGTCTATTACTCACGGGAAGGTGTTGCAATATTGCTCTCATGTAATTGTTCTGAACAGTATGAAACATGCGCTATTTTTCTATGCAGAATCCTACTATAGACATCGTAAAGGATTACGCACGTATATAACATTATAGCGGTAGATCCTAGAACGGATACTATAGTGCGTTAAAAACAGACGGGCAGTTTCAGCTGGTTCAGTGAGTAAAAGGCGGGGTGGTTTCAGGCAAATCAGAGAAGCAGACTGGTGACAGTTTGAAAAAATCAGACAGAAAATTGTGACTAATTTTTTTTTCTTTTTCTGAATACGTTTGACTCAGAGGGGATCTTTCCTCTCCATAGAACCTTGATAATATACAATCCATAATATATTTTGAGTAGTACCCCAAGGGGGAAGGCACTTCGGAGAAGAAGCAGAAAATATGCCAACCCTGCAACCAGCCGTCCCATGTATTGTTATTTTAATTAAATAATTAATTAACGGTCACGGTATTTTTTTGAAAGTGGAGCTGAATTGGTATGATCGTATTGGCTAAATTTCACACATTTTGGGGTCTAAAATTACCTTCATAGCAATTTTAGGTTCTAAAAGGGCACTAGAAATGTCATACTAGATAAGAATGAGAGCAATAACCATACACTTTGAAGGCATTTGCAGTCTGAAAACAGAACTCAACTATCCCTTTAAGGCGCAAAGCGCTGTACATTTACGTACTCTTTAGTTGCATAAGTTTTCCCCTACGTTCGCATAGACTGGATATATATAAGAGGCTTGAACAAGTCCGTCTCACTCACTTTTAAACAAAGTTCAGGGATAGAACTTCCCCATTACAGAACTTCCCTATCTGTATATATTAGAACTTGGATAAATTAACAGCGTGTTGGGTTATTCTAAAAAATTATTGAAGTCCCCATATTTTTAAATTTTAGTTAAATTATTAATTGATAGAATATAGCAATTATATTTTGGAACAAACTAATCCCCAAGTGAATTATAAAGAAGTTTTTGATTTATTCGTATGTGATGAAATATCGGTCAGATTGAATTAAGTACCAGTATGCATTATTTGTGAAGTCATTTAATTGATAGGTATATGCATAGTTAACAGAGATTTCAAATGCAATACACATTTATACATAGGATATCAGGTAGTCCACCTAGTTTGGCAATGCATGTATATTTTATTATCTAGTACTTTCCCATCTCTATTTACCTTTTACAATTACAGATAACATCTTCTAGACCCCTACCATCTCTTCAGGAAACAGAAGACAGACAAGTATTCCAAATACTCCTTGAGGAATCTTGAAGGAAGTATACCAGACAGAAACACCATGACACTACAGTGGACATTTGTGGCAGCCTTCCTATATCTGGAGGTTTTTGCCCTTATCCTGCTAATGCTCCCATTCATCAAGCCATACATGTGAGAATCAAAATATTTTTGAAATATTATGTTTTTCAACAGTTTGATCACAAAATTCACAAACAATCTATGCCAATCTGCAAAGGTAGACACTCTAATGATTTATTTCAAATTCAATATAATAATAATAATAATAATATTCTGTGTTTATAATAGTGCTCAATACATTGATCCGACGATATGCCTAAGCGCTTTACAGATATATATATTAAAAGTGTAGCTAGGTATATGTATTCAATCTTTTCTCTCTGTTCTACTATTGACATTAATTAATTGGCAGATTGTGATGAAAAGCATGAATCGGTCAAAATTAAAGGAAACCTTGAAATTTGTACATTTACATGTATTACTATGTTTTGTTTTCTATTTCTTTATTTTGATATAGGTGGCAGAGATTCTTTAATTCTGGAATAGTGAAGTCTATCACAGCCTATGCATACATCTATTTCAATGTCTTTCTCTTCATCCTTGTCTTGCTATTCCTTGGTAAGTCTACTGATTTTAGCAGTGAAGGCTTGTTCATACAGTTCAAGTAAACAATGACTGTTTACTTTGTGTTTTGTTTAAAAGCATACTTAAACTTTCTGCTATTCCCAATTTTTTAATCCTATAACGCAAAAATAAGTGAGTATACATAGCACCATTGTTGCATATATCTACTTTATTTGTCCAAATATCCATTCATTTAGTACAACAACAAAAACCCGCTATGGTTTACCGTGGCATACAGTGTATATGAACGCGCCTTAATTGTCTACTCACTTGTTGCTAAGGGGGAAGGGTTGGCAAGGATATCATCACTCAATCTCTCTCAATAAGTACATATGAATTTGTAAACTTTTAAGAATTTTATTTAAAATCTTTTGGGACAATTTTTTAATTTACAGTTGAGGATTTTATTCATGTCAGGAAATGTTTTGTAGTTGGTACTGTGTTGGCGGCTTGGCGCTATTTAAATGTTAAGAAGTCACTTTGCCTTAAGCGATCAACACATGTCCTCAAGGGTTCTGCTTCTGTTCAGTACACAGAGATAGAGTTTGATCTAGTCCTACAGTGTAAGTGTGTCTTGAAATATAATGTCCTACTGTGTGTAGAAGGTTACATGTACATATTTGTGTACTATATAATGTTGTTTTGGTACAATGGCTTGAAAAGGGGGGGGGGGGATTTCAAGGACAAGATAATTTCTGAAGTATCTTGTATGTGTTTATGCACCATTTGATCTGATATCTAAATGATATGTATTTATATCATTATACAGAAATAATAGATAAATAGATAATATTCAGTAAAAACTGTTTTCTTATTTTTCAGATTCAGTGAGAGAAGTAAGCAAGTATACAGATGCCAAAGATGAACTTGATGTGGCTATACCTAATGCAGAGGCCATCCTCAATATGAAGCTGTTCAGAGCACAGAGGAACTTTTATGTGGCTGGATTTGCCTTCTTCCTCTTCATGTGAGTATCTTTCTTTTTCCTGTCAAGTTAATGTCAGAACTTCAGTTACTATCACTTGTTATAATGTATGACATAAACATGTATTTGGCATAAAATGAATATCTGAAACCACCATGTCGCTTTAATAATGTAAATATGTTACCCTTTCTTTGCTCTGTAGTCAGTTGAATTGATTAGAAGCCTCTTAGCATTTGATTTTCCATTTGGATCATACACACCTCTTTATATGACAGGGCCAAGAAACGGGTAATCATATTGACCTTTCAAAGATAATATGCTCTTTAAAAAAAAAAAATCTGTGAATTTGCTATTTTTTGCACAATAAACTAATATAAATTTATAATCTCCCTCTTTGCTTGCTATCACACTTACCTGTCCTATAAGCTGGTGTAGCGTTTCGGAAGGAGAATGATGAATAAATGCCATTCATTCATGATGCAATAATCTACCTAAAAACTATAAATGACTGCATAATTTTGCTTGTAAATGATTGGTTACAGGTAAGAGGCATTCCTTTGACGGGCAAGGAACATAGCTTTGCACAAAAGTTCTCCAATTCTGACTGATCTGTATTTGATAAGAAACAGGAATGTGAAGGGCACTTTGTTCAACAACTCTTATTCCTCAATGTTGCCTTAGGCCCTTTAATGTGTCTGAATGGGCTCTCAGGATATAATAGCATTTACTGTGTGTTAGAAACTAACATATTTTCTGTATCTGAATTTCACCCCTACAGTGTATTGAAGCGTATGTGCAACCTAATCTCTAAGGAAGCTACTTTGATAGCTTCTAACGAGGCATCAGTCAAGCAAGCACAGGGGGCATCAGATCAGGCCAAAAGACTCATGGATGAGATGGATGAACTACAAAAGGTCAGTTTTTAAGAAATTCATGTACTTCTAAACTAAACTGTTAAAAATTAGCCCATGTACAGTAGTTATGAGAAACAGGATCTGCAGATCGTGGCATTGGTATGACATCTATTTTTTTTATGCCTCCGTTACGAAGTAGCCGGAGGCATTATGTTTTTGGGTTGTCCGTCCGTCCGTCCGTCTGTACGTACGTACATACGTACGTCCCGTTCTCGTGATCGCGTTATCTGAAGAACCGATTGATGGATTCCTGCCAAACTTTGGTCATGTATGTATCTTGCAGAGCCGATGAACCGATTAGATTTTGGGGTTACGAGGTCAAAGGTCAAAGGTCACAGGGCTCATTATGTATGCAAAAACAGTTCGTGATCGCGTTATCTGAAGAACCGATTGATGGATTCCTGCCAAACTTTAGTCATGTATGTATCTTGCAGAGTCAAAGAACTGATTAGATTTTGGGGTCATGAGGTTAAAGGTCAAAGGTCACAGGGCTCATTATGTATGCAAAAACAGCTCGTGATCGCGTTATCTCAAGAACCGAGTGATGGATTGCTGCCAAACTTAGGTCATGTATGTTACTTGCAGAACTGATGATGTGATTAGATTTTGGGGTCACGAGGTCAAAGGTCAAAGGCCACAACGCACATTATGTATGCAAAAACAGCTCGTGATCGCGTTCTCAAGAACCGATTGATGGATTCCTGCCAAAATTAGGTCATGTATGTTACTTGCAGAGCCAATGAACTGAGTAGATTCTTGGTTCATAAGGTCAAAGGTCAAAGGTCATGGGCTCATTATGTATGCATAAATAGCTTGTGAACACATTCTCATTAGAACTGACAGATGGATTACTATTTAACTCAGGACATCTTGCAGAGCCAATGAACTGAGTAGATTTTAGGGTCATGAGGTCAAAGATCAAAGGGTCATATATGTATATGAGAAATCGCTTGTAATCACGATATTCTGAGAACCTGTTAATGGATTACAATTGAACTTGAATTCGAAAAATGTGTTCTGTTTTGGTTTGTAAAATTGCTCTATGACGGAGGCATCATTTTCAACTGCGCGCAGTCGAATTCCATCTAGTTTTTAATGATTTGTGCCACAGTGTGAATATAAATTCGCATCGAAAATGGCTTTTATTTTTTTCATGATCAAATTATTTTGTCAGCTGTGATGAACATGTCAACATTTTAAATATTAACTTTCCAGGTCTTTTTTCTTGTCTTTGGCAATGTGCATGGGTTTAACAAATGTATGAGATAACTGTTTTACATCATTGTAGAGAGATATTTGTCCAGTACTTGTGATTGACAGGTTGTATATGAACAGGAAATACAAGAGTTTTAAATTTACACAAGCAGGTATGCAACAACCCAATCTTGACAATGGAGAAATCTACAAGAAATCAACTAGGACTGAATTTGTTAGCCCCAAATTTGTAAACAAGGAGAAATGTAATTAACAATAAATCAGTTAGCAGTTGTCATGTTGAAATTAATTAGATTGCTGTTTACTTAGGACATTAGAGAAGTCAAAGTTCTACTTTTATTCAGAAACTATTATGCCTCATCACCTTCGAAAATGACTATTTTGTTAACCTCAATTTTGCAAATTTGGACTGAAACTTAGAATAGCTTTGCTGGGTATGCTGTCTAAAGAAAGAGCTTAAGGTAATGTTGTAAAGATTATTCAAATGAAGCTCAGGAAAACAAAATCATCCAGAATTGAACATCAAAAATTATTTAGATATTGACAAGTATCTGATCGGTAATGTATTTGTATCACATTTTTAGAGGACTATGAACAGAAGTCACCTAATTAACCAAATATCAACATTTCTAGAATATGTATTTTTTCTTCAGCTTTAGAACATTGAAAACTAGATGGAATTTTGACTGCGCGCAGTCGAAAATGATGCCTCCGCCATAGAGCAATTTAAACAAGTTTGGAGTTTAAATCTCCAGTGGTTCTTGAGATATCATGATAACAATCTCAATGTATGGAATTTCATAAGTTGACCTCTGTGACCCTTGACCTTTGACCTATGTGCTCCAAAATCTAATCAGATTGTCTTCCTATGGTGATACACACTATCATTAAGTTTGAAGTTTAAATCTCCAGTGGTTCTTGAGATATTATGATATGGTGATACATACTATCATTAAGTTTGAAGTGAAAATTCTCCAGTGGTTCTTGAGATATCGCGATAACGATCTCAATGTATGGAATTTCATAAGTTGACCTCTGTGACCCTTGACCTTTGACCTACGTGCTCCAAAATCTAATCAGATTGTCTTCCTATGGTGATACACACTATCATTAAGTTTGAAGTTTAAATCTCCAGTGGTTCTTGAAATATTATGATAACAATCTCAATGTATGGAATTTCATAAGTTGACCTCTATGACCCTTGACCTTTGACCTACGTGCTCCAAAATGTAATCAGATTGTTTTCCTATAGTGATACACACTATCACTAAGTTTGAAGTTTAAATCTCCAGTGGTTCTTGAGATATCATGATAACAATCTCAATGTATGGAATTTCATAAGTTGACCTCTGTGACCCTTGACCTTTGACATACGTGCTCCAAAATCTAATCAGATCGTCTTCCTATGGTGATACATACTATCCTTAAGTTTGAAGTTTAAATCTCAAATGGTTCTTGAGATATCGCGCTAACAAACTCAATACAAGGAATTTCATAAGTTGACCTCTGTGACCTGTGACCTTTGACCTACGTACTCCAAAATCTAATCAGATTGTCTTCCTATGGTGATAAATACTATTCCTGAGTCTTAAGTTTAAATCTTAAATGGTTCTTGAGATATTGTGATAACGGTCAAACGGGACGGACGTACGGACGGACGTACGGACGGACGTACGGACGGACAACCCGAAAACATGATGCCTCCGGCACCACCTTCGGTGGCGGAGGCATAAAAATGTATATTATGTATACTTGCCCTTGCCCTACATGTAGATATTGAGATTGATATCTGTATATGCACAATGAAAGAAATATGAAAGAACAGACAAAGCAAGGTATGATTGGATAATATGATTCTCTTTTGATAAAAGGAGCTGGAGACCAAGACTAAACGTCGTTCACGCTCAGGCTCTATGGCTGACATCGTCGTCGCTGCAGTTGCAGACAGTGAAGTTGCCAAAGACTTAAAGACTACCAGGGACGATTTAGCAAGCTCAAAAGCAGGTAATTGATGTCATAAAATACAGATTAAAAAGACTAAAATTGATTCTTAAGAGTTATTCCATCACAAAGCATTAAACCACCTCCCAAAATGCCCTCCAGCAAAATCGGATGGAGATTGCAAATACGCAACAATATGTTTTAAGCCAGCATCACTGCCTCTTGTCTGTGTGTGTTTGTGTGAGTTTGTGTGTGTTAGCTTCATTGTTAGAAGTTCTAAACAATTTTTTTTCTTTCAAATTAAGGATTGTTGGTGAAAATCTATTGTTACTGTTGCAACTGCAATGTATGTAGTTTAGGACACAGTCAATGATTTTTTTTTTCTTCTGGAAAATACCTAAATTTTTTAATTTAATCAGCACAGCTTTTTATGTTTATCATGGAAAAAGAAAAGATTAAAATTGGTTCAAGAACAGGGCTCAAATTAATTTTTTGTCCACGGGGGCTCTTCCCCCCAAAAAAGAGCCCCCGTAAGCCTTCTCACGGGAGCTCTTTTAGTACTGACGGGGGCTCTTTTTTATACAAATATCCATTGAATTGGTACCTATGATACTCCTCAATTATTTGCTATTTCATCATTATCATTTCAATCAGCATTTTCCCTCTTACAAATTTACAAGCTACATAGCTGTTACTGGCCTGTGTATATAATATAAACGCATACAACACTGATCTTTATGATGTCTTTAACGTGACATATCTTCTTCTCCCCTTGCAAACGAGAAAGAAAACAAGGTCATTAAAAGGGATTAAGCGACAAAATGATTGTGATTCAAATTGATGCGAATATTTGTTTGAATAAGCACTGCTATTCACCCGAATCTTCTTTGTAAAAACAACTTTTACAAATCTCAGCCATGCTTACTGAGTTGAGACGTTCCATTCAATGTAAAATACTCATTAAAGAATACACTTCTCCTAATCTGAAAGTGATCTTACAACACAGTGGCAGATTTGCATGGCTGAGATTTGTAAAAGTCGTTTTTACAAAGAAGATTCTGGTGAAAAGCATTGCTTATTAAAAAAAAATCCTTGCATCAATTTGAATCACAATGATTATTTGTCGCATGATCCTTTTATTAAATAACCTTGTTTTCTTTTTTGTTTGCAGGGGGAGAAGAAGCTATGTCACGTTAAGAAATCATAAAGATCAGTTGTATTATGCGTATATACATTTATGATACCAGAACAAATGTTGATTATCAGAATGTCATTTTGGAATACCTCTATACAAATACCACATTGTCTTTAGCCCGTATCAGTATTAGTATGATCCAATATAAAGCTATTATTCTTTATTTAATTCAGTATAATGCTTTTCCTCAAAAATAGTTTTGCTATTTTTTTAGGGTTGAGACGCTAAGAAATGCATTGCAAAATGATGGTGGTTCTCTCTCTCTCTCTTTATTTTAATCATGCATTATCAACTACATATAACGCAGCAACCAAAAACTTGGGTTATCTGAGATAGGTGAAAGTAAGAGTTGAAAAGAAAGTCATGCTAAAACGGCGCTTCACTCCCCCCCCCCCCCCCCCTGAAAAAAATTAAATAGAGTAGTCCTCCTCTCCAGCATCCCCCCCCCCCCCCCACTTTAATATCACATTTTCACTTGGCAGCCCAAAGGGGCCGGGGTGGGAGGAGGGGGTTAAACCCCCTAACTCCCCCCCCCCCCCCCCCGTAGATCTGCCCATGTTACCATATCATTCCACGACATATTGGTCTTCCTCTTCTTCTTAATAGGGACTTTTAGATTTGCGTGGACGTGCACTGGCAGTCACATTTGACGTCCTTTTAAGCACTGGCACTGCCTTGAAAGGAGGTCACACGTTGCAGTCCACGTTCTCATCGTGCAAATCTAAAAGTCCCTAATATTGATTTACTGGTCGAGGTTCATTATTTGCTGGTCATTTGAAATCACCAGATTTCAGCGGGTTAACGCTTTCACAACGAAAAACTTCTCCATGACCATGTTTCTGCCCTTGCGCGATCGCCTCCAGCTCCAGCAGACATGGCGCGGTAGCGTGCACACATACCGCTACTAACGGCGCAGTAGGCCTATAACCACTGCTGACGGCGGCACTGCACTGCGAGCTGAATCGGTAATAATTAATAGGCCTATACTCATAAAACGAGAAATCTTGCACGCTAATCTAAGTTCCATTTCATTGGTTTAAGGTTTGAAAATTAAAACTCAATATTGTGTTAAAGTTATAACAGAAAAGATAATCTTTATTTTAAATTCCACGGGGGCGATTTTTAATTTTGCAATCGCCCCCGTGAGCAACCTGACGGGGGCGATTATGTAGCTTACGGGGGCGAATCGCCCACCGCCCCCGTGTATTTTGAGCGCTGTTCAAGAATATAATCAAACTTGTCAAAATTATGTCACATGTTTGATGGAAGTGAGGATTTTTAACCTCTTTTTTCCTGTCAAATGGTTACCCTAAAACCATGATGACTCGGGCCAAAGATGAATAGGCACATGCTCTTGTTTTTCTCTTGGTCAATATATAAAGGCAATGAGTAATGTTTCCTTTCTTTTTTTCTCTTTTCTTCCAACCAGAATTGGAGAAGTCGAAGAAAGAGATGGATGCAGTGAAGAAGCAGGCTGAAGGAGTCTCTGCCGAGTATGACAGATTATTGGAAGAACATTCTAAACTACAGGTAGGATGATAATGATGGAGTGGGTTTTACTCTTTTAAGGTGTTAGTTAGTGTTACAGATTGAGTGCTGTTAATGGAGACTCTGTACTGAATTTTAAACCTATACACATAGTTTGCCCCCTTCCCCCTCCACCCCATTGTCCCTACCAAGTATGTTAAATTACCATCATAGCAATCTTAGTAACGGACATGGTGTTGAAATGTTTATAACCTATTAAACTCACATCAGAAAGTTCAGTGCTGGTGTATGAAACATATTAGATGTTGCCCTCATCCCCTCATCTCTATAGAGTGTCTGATTACTATCGGAGGTAACAAAGGTTACAAGTACGATGTTGGAACATTACACTAGGGTGTTTAGTCAGTGTCAGAGATAAAGTGCTAGTGTCAAGAAGGTATTCCCCCCCCCCCCCTCTCCCTAGCCAACTGTCTACCAAATATAACATATTGCTGGTGAACACTCTACAGCTATTAGTCCAAGCTATTTTTATGCCTCCGCTACAAAGTAGCCGGGGGCATTATATTTTCGGGTTGTCCGTCCGTACTTACGTCTGTACGTATGTCCGTACGTACATACATGTACGTCCCGTTCTCGTGATCACGTTATCTCAAGAACCCATTGATGGATTCCTGCCAAACTTGGGTCATGTATGTATCTTGCAGAGCCAATGAACTGATTAGATTTTGGGGTCGCGAGATCAAAGGTCACAGGGCTCATTATGTATGCAAACTAGCTTGTGATCGCGTTATCTCAAGAACCCATTGATGGATTCCCGCCAAACTAGGGTCATGTATGTATCTTGCAGAGTCAATGAACTGATTAGATTTTGGGGTCACGAGATGCAAGGTCAAAGGTCACAGGGTTCATTATGTATGCAAAAATAGCTTGTAATCGCGTTATCTCAAGAACCCATTGATGGATTCCCGCCAAACTTGAGTCATGTATATATCTTGCAGAGCCACTGAACTGATTACATTTTTATGCCTCCGTTACGAAATAGCCGGAGGCATTATGTTTTCGGGTTGTCCGTCCATCCGTACGTCCCTTCTCGTGATCGCGTTATCTCAAGAACCGAGTGATGGATTCCCGCCAAACTTGGGTCATGTATGTATATTGCAGAGCCAATGAATAGTTTAGATTTTGGGGTCGTGAGATCCAAGGTCAAAGGTCACAGAACTCATTATGTATGCAAAAATAGCCCGCGATCGCTTTATCTCAAGAACCCATTGATGGATTCCCGCCAAACTTGGGTCATGTATTTATCTTGCAGAGACTATGAACGGATTAAATTTGGGGGTAACAAGGTCAAATGTCAACAAAACAAAACAAAAATAGCTCGCTTCTGTTTTGGTTTGTAAAATTGCTCCATGGCGGAGGCATCATGTTCGACAGCGCGCGGTCGAAGGTCCATCTAGTTGGGTCATGAGATACAAGGTCAAAGGTCACAGGGGTCATTATGTATGCCAAAGTAGCTCGTGATCGCGTTATCTCAAGAACTGATTGATGGATTCCTGCCCTACTTAGGTCATGTATTTATCTTGCAGAGCCAATGAACTGATTAAATTTGGGGGTAACAAGGTCAAATGTCAAAGGACACAGGGCTCATTATGTATGCAAAAAATAGCTTGATTCTGTTTTGGTTTGCAAAATTGCTCCATGGCGGAGGCATCATTTTCCACTGCGCGCGGTCGAAGGTCCATCTAGTTTTGCCATAAATTACCAACTGCATCTAAACTTAAGTATACCTGATGATTGTATTACATTGATAGCCCTACTTGAGCTTGGGTCAGACCAAATAAAATGATACATTGGATTTCAACTTATGTTTGTAACTTCACTATACTTTCGAAAATAATATTGCTAGTGACATTTGTTTGTCTCGCACTGTGTGGTCAACAAGGGATCTAAAAGATCACGACAATTAGTGTGCCGCTGCTACACTTCATCAGGTGATAAAATATATTGTAAGCAAGTGTGTTTTATACTCTATGGGTGGACCAGCGGTCAAATAAGTAGAACAATAATGGACAAGGCCTATTGGTTGAAGCACATGGTGCTCAACCAATCAACTATACTTGTTCATGAATGTTGTATTACAAGAAAAATTCACATCAATAGCAATACTAATATTTTCAAGACAATTGTTGTACCTATATTTGAATATTATCAGCCGGTATGGCATTTGTATACTAAATTACTGTCAAGTAAGATGGAAGAAATACAGAGATGGGCTACTCGAATTGTACTTAAATGAAATGTCAACAAATGACATACCAAAAAGGCTTTGAATTCTAAATTGGCAGTCTCTTTAGTCAAGGAGAACATTTTGTTTTATCTATATTTGCTCAATTATCTGTTTTCTGATTTCATATTTATCTTTATTGCCAATGAAATAATGATAATAATAATAATTTTGGAGCACCAAATTACCAAATACTTTGGACTTGCTCTTAACTGGGTCTTATTTTCATCAATATCTCTTTGTTTTCTCTTACTTTTGACAGAAGCAAGTGGCATCCTCGGAGACGAAGAAAGACTCATAGATCAACTGACTTGAGTCGCAGAGCTAGATTGACAAGAATGTTGATGTGGAAGATAAGGAGTAGAATTGGGGGTCATCAAGTGCCTGTCTGATGAGCCAGTATAGCTTGCTACAGAAAGTGTTACAGAAATGTACCTTGCTTAAACTAAATCAATGGGCTGACATTAGTTTCTCGTATTCTGTCACCCTACCCCCGGGGGGGATACTCAGATTTGGTTTGGACAGGGGTGTGCCGCTCAAGCCTCGAAACCCCTACCCATTATTAGGGCTCATTTTTTTCACAATTTTCTGGTGTTTTTCTGATGTTTGCCTGGCAAACACCTAAAAATTCTGCAAATTTTTGAAATTTTGAAAAAACAGACCCTTTTTTAATGGTATTTTTGTTACAAGTGGGACCCATGTTTAGGAATTTTTTTGTGAAAAAGTTACCCATTAGAGCGGCACACCCCGTTTGTCCTAATATGTGAGTACCCCCCTCCCCGGGACCCTACCCTGATAACATATTAATATTATCTGTATTAGTAGGCTTTAATTTGTTACTGAATATATTTTACAAAACCTTTATAGCGATTACAGAATTCATTTTTTCTGTCATTATCAGATGAGAGTTCTTCTCACTGATTACATTACTTTACAAATGGCAAACATTATCCCTTTCATAAAAGAAAAAATGTATTTGGTTCATTTTACAAAAATTATACTTTCTTATGAATTTATAACACACTGGCCATTGAACACTAATGGGTATTTGTAACACTATTCTAGGGTATGTAATGGGTTTATTTGTTGAACGATACCTTTAATAAACTTTTAATTTGGTTAAGGAGTTTTCTCCTTCATGTAGAATTACCATTTATCTTATGTTTGTATACCGGTAATGCAATCAAGTAATGATAGAAGAATAGATTAAGTACCATATTGTAGTATGTTGTATAGATTGGTGGTAATCTTTTTCCGTTTGTAGCTGGTTACTAGTCTTCATCTTGAAAAATGTATAATTGAATGACCAGGCACCACAAACTAAAAAGGAAAAAAGGTTGGTGGTGTGATTTCAAGTTCGGGCTCATTAGAGGTGGATTAGGTAAAGGTTGCTCAGATTTTGGTTTTTAGTATTTCCTGAAATAGTATACTGTACTTAGTTTTATGTAATTCCAAAATTCAAAAAAAGGTCAAAAAGTAGTATTTTGGTGCAGTTTTTGTAGACCTATGTTGTTTGATCAGGGACTTGTTAGTTGTATCCCAAGTCCCTGGTTTGATCTTAATTTTGTTGTAATAATGTTAATTTGAGTATGACCCTGGCTACTGGTCTCTACTTTTTAAAGATTTTAAATCTATACCTTTTTTTATAGATAAAGCTGTTTCATTGATACCTGGTCAAAACAAAGAATAGGATGTGCTGAATTGGTGTGCCAAGTTTGAAGACAATTTGATAATGCCTTCCCAGAAATGTCTATAGAACTGTAATCCTCATTTTGTCACCTTGCACAGCCCCTTGTGAGTCGGAGGGCTTGAATAGACTACTGATTTGAAACAGCTTTTTCTATAAAACTGGATATTATTCACATATTTATTTGGCGCTGCTACCTCCAGCTGTGACAAGTTATATACCATTTTAAAGCTGATAATCTTCTCTTTAAGAATCAGACATAAACTAAAATGAAATCATATCAGGCAATTTTTTTATAGCTTTGTGGTGCCTGGCCACACTTGTTTTATGTAAATTACATGTAGTATTAAATGTATACAAGTAGAGGTTTGTGGTCTAGTGGATAAGTCGTCAGACTGTGGATCACAGCGACTGCGGTTTGAGTCCCGCCGCGGCACTCATGTCCTTTGGCAAGACATTAATCTACATTTGCCACTTTCCACCCAGGTGTGAAACGGGTGCCTGTAGAAAGGAATTCCTTGAATGCTGTGAGCATCGAAATCGGTAGCCTAGCAGAGCCAGGGTAACATCAGAGCGCCTTGACCACCATTCAGGGTGGATATGTGCGCTTTATAAATATCCAATTTTATTATTATTATTATAATGCACTCAGATGAGCAAGTATTCTCACTATATTCTTATTCTATTTTCTACTCATGATATTTTAAAACTGAAATGGATGGATTACTATCAAAATCAAAGGGCATACATATATTCTGAGAATCTGTTAATGGATTACAATCAAACTTGAATTTTTAAAATTGCTTCTGTTTTGGTTTGTAAAATTGCTCTATGGTGGAGGCATCATTTTCGACTGTGCAGTTGAAGGTCCTTCTAGTTTATGATCATATTTGTAAAGCTCAAAAGTTTTTAAAAAATAAGGGCCAGTACTACCTTAACCCTATTTAGCCCGGGCTATTTTGAAACTGCATAGCCCAGGGGGGGGGGGGGGGGGGGGGGGGGCTTCTAAAGCCCTCCCCCTATGATCTCAGCCGTGAAACGACCGATCGCCGCGAAAATTGGCATACATGTCAAGTGAAGTGTATAGAATACTATGGTAATTTCAATTTTTTGAAAAATTCACTCATTTGCATATTTATGGTAATTTATGCAAATAAGGTCATAAAATTCACATTTTTGCCCATAAATCAGACATTATTAATATTTAAGCATTCTTTTTCACTACATATATTTGTAAGACCATTTGGAATAATAATACAACACAAGAAATTGAATAACCAGGGTTATTCCCTATGTTATCTATTGTTTTGATAATTTCTTATGTATTTCTTTGTTTTTTTAACTTATGTATTTTATTGTTTTTGTTGTTTTATTTCATTTCCAACTATTATTCAACTATTTTGACCCCAAAATAAACACCTAAACTATAAACAAGACCAAATAACCAATGTTTTATCTCTCTATTTGAAAAATGAGATTTCCATATGTTTTGTACACAAATCACAAAAATGAGCCATTTTTTGAATTTTTTTGAAAATCGGACCAACCATTACAAAGTCAAAAGGACACGTGACTTTGTAATGGTTGGTCCGATTTTCAAAAAATTTCTTTCAAAAGATGCGCAAGAACCGAAAGAAAAAAGTCACAAAATTACAGTGCAAGATTTATATGCGTTAAAAAATTATCGTGAAAAATGTCGAGGGGGGGGGGGGGCTTCCCCCCGGGCTAAATAGGGTTAAACCTTGTTAAAACATTGATTTCGTGTGTCATAGGTTGATTGTCTCCTGATGTATTAAGCATTGAATGTCAATCGTGGTTCTATACTTAATGAAGAAATTAACCTATATCAGTTTTTGTGATGGGAAAGTAATACATTGACAAGTGGTCCATTCAGACTTATTCTAGAGTAGGATAGTTTTGTTAATATATGATGTTGGCTTAAACTATACTGGATGTCTCAAGAAAATATATTTCACTAGATCAGATGTGGTTGTGGTCAACTGACTGGATAGTTTCTGTGTTCAGTGCCCAATCAGCTGAGAAGAGGACTCACCTTCAACGCTAAAACAGAGACAGTCCTTTCATTCTTGCCCTTGATGGGTGTATTTTACGAGATCACGCGACTATTTGAGAAAAACGAGGGGAAAAATAATGATTAAAGATAACAAATTATGTAAAAATTGACAGAATATGAACTAATGTGTTTCTAGAAGAAATGAGATACATTTTTTTTTTTTTTTTTTTTTTTTTTTTGTGGGGGGGGGGTATTTTCTAATTTGTTTATAATCAAGAAATATTTAGGCGTGGCTTGAAGACTTTGAATTGGGGGAGGGCGGGTTGTGGGGGTTGAGCACCCCCCCCCCCCCCCCCAGCCCTTTTCCATTCTATAATTGCTACTGCACTGGGATCCACTTTTAGGTTGGTCGAGACAGGTAATACATCAGAACATTTTTATATTAACAAAATCATAATTCAAATTAGACGGTTCTGTATTTTTGTGATAAATGATGACTTACGTTACGTTTGCGTTTTTTTGTAAAATGTTTGTGTAGTATTTTGATTTTGTTTATTCATATGAATTGTCCATTCTCAATAATATATTTCTAAATTTCATTAAATTCACTTCACTTCAAGAGTCCACCTCAAACTACACACATGAGAGGTACACAGAAATATGAAAGATACATGTATACATTGAAAGGAGAATACATAAACTGCAACAAAGAGAAACAGAATTATAACCATGGGTGTCGATCCTTACGTAATACCTATTCATCAGGGGGGGATGAATGAATAGATCATCCCCCCCTGATGAATAGGTATCAGTTACGGATCAACACCCATGATTATAACTATGTTACTGCCAAAGAGATTTTGAAGAAGGTGGGCAGAATTGGGATATCTGTTTAAGTGGCTTTTGTTTCATTTTGTATATTGATAGCTTTAGAATTGAGGTACATGTTATAACAAGATTTGAAAATGATATTTTATTGTGTCTCCATTTTGTTGTAAGATCTTATATAACAAGGCTCATGAGTAAAAACTTATAATGTATACATGCTATCATAGGCGCCGGAAGTGGGGGGGCAGGGGGGGCAGTTGCCCCCCAGTCAAAAAAGTGGGGGGGCAAAACGCATTTTTGCCCCCCCAAAACGCCCCCCCCCCCCCCTCCAAAAAAAAAAAAAAAAACAGTAAAAGAGTAAACATGGCTTGTATTTTTAATCCAAAAGAACGTAACAATAATAAAAACCTGAATTAAATCACATATACAATTCCATTCAAAGAAACGGAAAGTTCACAGGAATTAAATTTCATAAACATTGCGCATGCCACCTATACGGTATTTATCAATGGAGGTCTCTATAATAGCGATACGCGCATATCGTGGACATATTGTGCGAGAATGGGAAAGCGTGTCCGTTTTTTTGTTATAGGGGTGAGAAGACATGAGCCCTTGAACGCTGGCGTACTGATGGGGGGGGGGGGGGTGATGTATTTCTTATTCGAAACAATTGATTTACAAATGATGATGTTGTGACATGATTTTCCGGCATTTTTTCTCCATTTCTTTTTTAAGTCATACCTTTTTATGCGTTTGTTGGAAAATAAGAAATTCCCAAATTACAGTCAGGCGAAATACGCTATAATTTAGAAGCCTTTATGTCATGGTCTGCAAAGTGGCTGGGCTCGAGCCCCCCCCCCCCCCCCTCCTTTTTGAAAAAGTATGTTAAAGAAAAAAAGAAAGAAAGACGGAGAAAAAAATAAGTGACCTGCCAATGTCACAAATAAGGTATAAAAAATGCTCATCTGACCGTAATTAAATACCTAAAACCCCCTGGACCCCACCAAGGGCCCTAAGGCGGCCCCCTGGATGCTCATCTGACCTTAATTAAATACCTAAAACCTCTGAGCTTCCGGGGGCTCTGCCCCCTGGACCCCACCAAGTGCCCTAAGGCGGCCCCCTGGATGCTCATCTGACCTTAATTAAATACCTAAAACCTCTGAGCTTCCGGGGGCTCTGCCCCCTGGACCTCACCAAGGGCCCTAAGGCGGGCCCCTGGATGCTCATCTGACCGTAATTAAATACCTAAAACCCCTGAGCTTCCGGGGGCTCTGCCCCCTGGACCCCACCAAGGGCCCTAAGGCGGCCCCCTGGATGCTCATCTGACCTTAATTAAATACCTAAAACCTCTGAGCTTCCGGGGGCTCTGCCCCCTGGACCCCACCAAGTGCCCTAAGGCGGCCCCTGGATGCTCATCTGACCTTAATTAAATACCTAAAACCTCTGAGCTTCCGGGGGCTCTGCCCCCTGGACCTCATCAAGGGCCCTAAGGCGGGCCCCTGGATGCTCATCTGACCGTAATTAAATACCTAAAACCCCTGAGCTTCCGGGGGCTCTGCCCCCTGGACCCCACCAAGGGCCCTAAGGCTGCCCCTGGATGCTCATCTGACCTTAATTAAATACCTAAAACCTCTGAGCTTCCGGGGGCTCTGCCCCCTGGACCCCACCAAGGGCCCTAAGGCGGGCCCCTGGATGCTCATCTGACTGTAATTAAATACCTAAAACCCCTGAGATTCCTGGGGCTCTGCCCCCTGAACCACACCAAGGGCCCTAAGACGGCCCCTGGATGCTCATCTGACCGTAGTTAAATATCAAAACCTCTGAGCTTCTGGGGGCTCTCCCCCCCCCCCTTGGAACACGTCAATTGCCTTACAGAGGGCCCCTGGATGCTCATCTAACCGTAAATAAATACCTAAAACCCCTGAGCTTCCGGGGGCTCAGCCCCTTGACCCCCTGCCGAGGCTCATTCCCTGGACCCCACGCCAATTTACGCTCTACCTGATCGATAATACTCCACTTTGAAAAACGTTCCGCGGGACCTGCATGTAACGTGTAAGACTGGTGGTGATGCAGAAATTTCGTGTGCCCCCCCCCCCCTCTTCCGAACTTTTTGTCTCATTACGTCACTGCCCCTGGAAAGTGAGCCCCCTGGAATGTTTGCCCCCCCAGTCCCAAACTGCTTCCGGCGCGCCTGCATGCTATAAAATAATTGTGAATACTCTTCACATCTGTAAGCATGCCTGTTGGTTAATAGTGGGACAAAATATGTTGGATCAAAATTTCAATAGCCTAGTGCATTGCCTCTTGAGAATGTGATCTTGCAATCACAAATATTTCTATTGGAAAATTAAAAAGATATTGAAATGGTACTGCAGTGTATATTTTGCAAGGATTTGTCCTTCAATTAGTGGCGACGGTTCCTACTTGCAGGACTAGGGGCTCTTGCTGTAGCTCTGGTTCCAAAATTGCTTGATCAAACTAGTATTTGGATTGATAATGCTAATGATGAATGTGGTAACAATACAAGAATATCTAATCATGTGTGCTTTTAATGGAATAAACTGGGACATCATGTTAAAGATATTCTGTGTCATTGTCTTTTATTTTGTATTGTGGTTTGTAGATTTTATCCTCCCACTCTGCAAGAAGAGCTAGATTAATGTTGATTTTCAAGGGTTTTCTTTTGTTATAATAATAAATGTTCAATTCGTATATAGTGCATATTACATAATTGTTTCTATGCGCTAATATACGAGAGAGAAGAGGAAAGACAGAAATATTGAGCTTTCACCGTTTATCATTTATGATTATTAAATCAATTACAAAATTCACAGGGCTGTCAACTTTGGGAAACACTTTGGGGAAGTCCCACCGGCCACCCCCCCCCACCCCCCCCCCCCCCCCCCCCCCCCCCCCCCACACACACACACACACACCACCACTAGACCTATATCATGTGCACTTTTGCATGTTCAAGTGGATTCGTTTCATGTACGTCTGGCACATAAAGACTAAGTATTGTTTATGTCTAGTCAATGCATATTCATACCATGTGTTGTAGGAAAAGCGCGCGCCAATACCGACCGACTCGACTCGACATGCACGCCGTCGCGTTCGACTCCACACTGCACTCGTCACGCCACCCCAAAAGCCGACAATTCCAGTCAAAGATGCGGGACGTAAAAAGGTGCAGTCAACGGTTAGTTATATTAGCTGCGATATTTCCTGAAATTTTTTATATGTATGGTTGTCAAATTTTTATTCCCCAAAACTAAGGCCAAACCAGCCTCATAATTTGCATGTGTATGAGTATGATTCGTGAATGTGAACGTGTTGAAACCGGCGATATAGATCTAGACTAGCCTAGGCTAGCGCTAGTCAGTAGTCTACTGTGATACTGATAGTCGATACTCCCACTCCCAGCCCCAGCCCCAGGCATTACACAAATATCAGTGATTTCAAGTTTGGTGTCGTGATGTCATACAAATAAAAACATAGTTTGGTGTTGTGAGAACACCATCACAGAGATGCCAAGTTAAAAGATCAACTAATGCTATGCGTGACATTTTCATGACTCTGCATGCAAGCACATGGACAAGGTTTCCAGCCAGCCGCTGAATAAGCAGGGGGGGGGGGGGGGGGGGGGGGGGGGGGGGGGAGGATGAGAGCACTTTTTTGTTTTTTTGTATACGATACGGTTTGGCGGGAGGTTTTCATAAACCGGGAGATTCTACATCGTTGGCAGGAGAGCTATAACGATCTATAGAAAGCCATTTATGTAACTTTAGCAGACTCACAGTGCCGACGATCTCCGACCTGAGCGAAGGAAGGATACAAGAGAGAGAGAGCAGAGACGCCAAGTTCAAAGATCGGCAATGCGTGACATTTTCATGATTCGGCGCGTGAGGGTATAACACACATATAAGGTATAGCGTTTTTTCAAAATCTAGCGCGTGTCGTGCGTAAGAGCATTTTCAGACCCTCGAAATGCGTGATGTCACGCCTATTGCGTGATAATTGGTAGCTCTGAGAGAGGTGGCGGACTCTCCCGCTACAAGCTTTTGAGGCGGCGGGAGAATGGGCTTGGTGGCATGAGACTCCATCCAAGTTAATGCGGGTGGGTTAACAGCCTTGCGTATAGCCTATGGCGTACGTTTCAAAATCGCGTGCGCGCGTCATGCGTGAGACGTTTTCAGACCTTCAATGAATGACACTTGGGAGCTTGATCTGCCATCACCATGCAGCCACAACACTGAACTTGATTTTTTTAATCAAGCTGGTGACCGTCCGCATATAAACGAGGATATCCTCGTATATGCGGACAAAACGCATCCTCATTGGAGCTCTGCGGGTTTCAGATTCCCGAACCGGGGAGTTGGCGATGCGTAAAACGGATTCAGATTAAGAATATATAACCCCAGTTCACAGTCTACTTATGGGTTGTCTGTCTTCCAGAGGATTTATCAATATCGTGAAAGTCTCTGTACAAAGTCAATGACAATGTAAAATGCAAGTAAATCATTGCGGAACCCGTTTTTTTCGCATCGCCAACGCACAGATCGGAAATCAGAATTGTCAGCGAAAATGCGAACGATCCTTTTTTTTGCGTACGCGACTGTCCATGTTTACAAAGACTATCATTTGTGCGGACGATCCTTAATCTCGGACAAGCCTTTTATTAACCAGGCGCCAGGCGATTTTTACCCAACGGTCACAGACTTTTAGCGCCGGTAAGATGGGGAAAATGAGTACCGGGCGCCGGTCACTTTTTATTTTTGGCGCCCGGTCTGGGAGAATTAACATTTTCTGTTTTAGAAACTTCCTCATGTCTAGCACTAAATGTTCACAAATGTGACAAAAACTTACTTGATACGAGTTAAACGTGGACTGAATGAACCCTAACAAATCATTTTATAATGAGAATCCTAATTAAAATCGCCTTGAAACAATTGGAGCACGAATACGAGCGACCGCTATCTCCTACTCCCAGTGCCACCGCTATGGCGGCTAGCCGGCGTGCAGATCAGAGCGGAGATCAAGAGTATGAGTGCGCGAGCAACACTCTCAGTCCGTCTAAAAGTTTGACTGTGCGAACGTGGCTAGCGGCTGGCTGTGAGAACGAGCGTATGCATAGTTTACCTATATTGCTTTGTGTTGGCGATTCCTGCAGCGTGCACTCATGTACATTGCACACAATACAGGGGATGTATACCACTCAAAGACGAGCGCATTTCCCCAGGCCAATATTAGAGTGCTCAAAGTTTAAACTAGAAATTAAACTAGGTATATATCAATAAAAGGTAACGGTTAAAGGTAAAGGCCAGTATTGGAAACGCCCTAATTTCAAAAAATGAAATGGAAGCTCTTATTACCAATCATGTGAAAGAATATGTTTTGAATATTACATGATGATAAAAATTTTGACGGGAAACCGCCTACTAATTGATATATTTGGTAAATTAGTGTATCTCTCGCCTGTTGAGAGATATGAAATGCACGTGTCACGCACGTGTGTGTATTCCCATATACATCTTCTGTGTACAGTGCTTCTAACTTTATGAAGACTTGGCCAAATTTCTTATCATTTTGCTGATTCCAGAACCTTGCAGTCCGTCTATGCTAGATGATCAAAATGATTTCAAAACGTTTCTTTCACAATGCAATCGCATGACCATCACTGATCTTTAGCTTTAACAAATAATTTTAAAAAATACATATTTTCATCAATTTTGGAAACGGCTCCTGGTTCTGAAAAACGGCTCCCGGTTCTCTTAAAATTTAAGGACCGGGAGCAGCTTTTTCAGATATTTGGCTCCCGGTCTGCTTTGACTTACCAAAAGGCTTGATCTCGAACCTGCGCCCCTACTGATTAATGCTTTTATCGCAAGACTTTTTGCCTGTAGACATGGTAGAGTAGTTCATCACTCGTGCTGAGCGATCGATAACGTGATCGGTATCGTCCTTCTAAACTGACAGTCAGTGTTGGAGCTTGGTTCAGCAGCCTTTCCACGCTCTATAAACACAAACACCGAACACCGTACCTGAAATCTCTCAATCTTCATGCAAACCAATAATTAATAATCGATCTAGATCTTCACAATGTTCAGTTAAGCCCCTTCTACTAGGGTGTCTGAACGATTTTTCAATTTTCCCTTTAGTTTTGCATTGTTTTTCACCATTATGGTAGGATAATTGAAAAAATCAACTACCAGGTACTCAGAAGAACACATTTCAAATTGAAGACTCACCGATGTTTCTATCAAAAGATACAGCCCCCCCCCCCCCCCCCCCCCCCCCCCCAAAAAAAAAATGTAGGCAGTATTCATCCAATTTTTGTCCAGAGTGGACAAAGAAGTGGTACATGCAGAGTTTTAATTTTTGCTCAACAGCTGCATATAGCGCGATATATGCAAAGGGGAAGGGTATTTTCAACCTGTAATCGTATGTGATCCTATGGGTCTAGTGAAAAAATAAGTACATACATGTAGATATATTCCTTACGACTGAAACTACTTTTCCATGAGGGGGTCATTTCTCTAAATTGGGAACTCTCAGGGTTACCAAGGAAACAATGTTTAAATCATTGTTTTGATCAAGATAGTACAGAGATGCCCTCTTTGGGGCATATATGGAGAAAAACCTGCTCTTTCATGACACCTCACTTATTGTGCATCGCCTTCAGGATCATAAAGAACAAAGGTTTGAATATCAACTTGGTAATAAAAACATTGACTAATTTTGCATGCACGTGGTAGACTGCATAGGGATGTGTGCAATCTCAATGGGAAGGGTTTAGCACACAAAACCGAGTGCGCAATCAGACACCCTACAAGTTTCAAACCGATTTTTGGGACGGAAAGCAGTTTAAATATAAAACAAATCTTTGAATGCGAACAATTCGAAAAGTAGTTTTTGAGTCGCTTGCGCGCTAACGCCCTTCTGCCAACCGGGCGACGATTTGTCAACCCAGGCATTAGTACTCCAGCAAAGCATAGTTAGTCATAGACCGAAAAATTCTGTCTCTTTCGTTCATTAGCCTCTTTTTGGGTAGGGTTGGCTCCTCTCTTAAGAGACAGAAGGGTACATAGGGTCTGCTGTCAGAAGATGGTGGCACTTTCGTGCCACCAAACTTTGGACTAAAATGTCATTTTAGCGAATTCATATCCGATGCATTTATTCGCGAAAATAAGGCCTAGGTTAATATACATCGGTTCCATTTAGCAGATTGACTGTATGACCGACCCTACACAAATTAGAGGCTAATGAACGAAAGAGACAGAAATTTTAGGTCTTAGTTAGTCAATGTCAATAACTCTGAGGCTCTAGCGTACATGTATGTGTAAACCAAAGCATCCATTTTTTTAACTTTTATATTGTTAAGTACTCTACTATTGCAGCATAACGTTGACTATCAAATCATTAGGTTGAATCATATTGACAATAAAATAGAAAGAAATGTTGCAAGCTTACTTACAACACTAATAATAATAGTAACAATACAAATAATTATAATAATATTGATATTGTCAATAATGTAAATTCAGAGAAAATATCTATATAATAAGAATGTGCTACCGTATATGTTTAGTTTCTTTATATACTCATTTCATGTTGTATGTATCATGTCACATGTACATTTTATCTATTTTTCTCTATGAAGAATGCATGTAGCAGTAAACACAACAAAATTCCTTTTGGACCAATAAAATTTGAATTGATGAATTGAATTGATGAATTTAAAGCCCTTTTCCTTCCTTCTCGAGAGATGACTGCTTAGTTCCGGCCTCCTGATATGGATACAATAAAATAGCGTGCCAATCGGTAAAAGTAGGCTCAAATATCTGGAAAACTAAGGAAATCTCATGAACCCAAACTAATATACGTGATTATACTTTAACAAAATTTATTACTACTGTTACAGACTGCTCTCGATCTCGAACTCTTGTCTCCTCTCAGTTCTCACTCAGTTTCTTTCTCATTCATGCGTGCATACCGGTATTCAAAACAAATTGAGTAGGTTGATTGTGAATTTGCAGCTCGGTAGAAATCGTGCTCTCAAAGCGGCGGAAAGGAGGCTTGAGAAGAAGTCTCCAGAAGAAGTCTCTCGATTTTAGATCTCCCTGGCTTTATATAGGGAGCTTTATTTACATATACACTGTCTTCTAGCAGGCCAACCTTCCAGCAAGGATACAACCCGACCTCGAGCTAAAGGGCAGAGTCTGTCCTCAAACTGAGGACAAAGTCTGGCCTCCGCTAGGGGTCAGTTGGGGGCCGCACGCAACTGAGTGTCTATCCGTGCTGTTACGTAAGATGAGGGCAGACTCTCTTGATGAACGAGGCCCTGGGTTTATGCAAAGTCCGACCTCCGCTCGGGTCAGTCTGGG